CTGGTTCCCTGCAACTTGGCTTCTTGCAGCGAGGGAACCGCCAGAAGGCCCTCGGAGCTGGACCTCAGTGTCCGGGCAGAACGATGGGGGTGGAGACGCTCCTTCAGGTATACTGGACCAAGGCCGTTTAGGGCTTTAAAGGTCAGAACCAACACTTTGAATTGTGCTCAGAAACGTACTGTTATGAAGGTCAGAGACAAATGCAACCAAGATGCCTTCTTGTCAGATTATTATGGGCAAGTATGCCACCAAGAGATAAGCTGCTTTGAGATTTGAGAGCTACCACTTTCATTGTACCAGAAGTTATGAATGATTCCTTGAAGGATGGGGTGGTTCAAGGGGTCTACAAATTATGGCTGGACTTGACATTACTTCCCCCTTCCAAATTTTTAAGATTTCCCCCTTCTCAAGTATATATGATCCATTATTTGAACTGATATAAATGAACTACTGACACTCTTGTTTTCTGGCACAAACATCAGACTATGGGGAAATGCTGATTTTTGGCTAGTACGTGTCCTATGGCACCATCAAGACTAAAGGTTTTTGGAGCATAGCTAGGGATGTTGTGTTGAGAATAAGAACCATCGAGCTCAGAGGTGCTTTATTAACTTCCATGCCATTAGGCTGCAGAGCAGAGGGTGAGGAGGGAAGCAGGGTTGCCCCATCAGCACTGCTGAGAAACCACCTGCCTTCAGAACTTCAGCCTGAAGCAGCCATTCCACCTGGCTACAGTGGTGCCCCGCAAGACGAATGCCTCGCAAGACGAAAAACTCGCTAGACGAAAGGGTTTTTTGTTTTTTGAGCTGCTTCGCAAGACGATTTTCCCTATGGGCTTGCTTCGCAAGACGTTTTTCTTAACACCGTTAATACAGTTGCGACTTGACTTTGAGGAGCAACTCATAGAACGCGGTGTGGTAGCCTTTTTTGAGGTTTTTAAAGACTTTGGTGATTTTTGAAGCTTTTCCAAAACTTTCCCGACACCGTGCTTCACAAGATGAAAAAAATCGCAAGGCGACAAAACTCGCGGAACGAATTAATTTCGTCTTGTGAGGCACCACTGTACCTGTTTCCATTCCAGCAGATCAATGACTGAAGCCTAAGTGCTTTTTCTTCCTCCTCTTTCCTTTTATGTCATGCCTGACAATAGGGACTATTTTGTTTTTTAGTGTAGGCATCGTGGAACAGTTTTTAATGAAGAACAGGGGGGAAAGGGTTTCTTAATAAACTTGAAAAACACACTGAACATTTTTTTTCTTTAAAAAATATTCAGCCCGCTGAAAGACAACCATTGGGTTTTAATTAGAAATGCAAACAATTTTACAAAAAAGTGTTACAATTTAAATTGGTAGCCTAAAGTAGGAATTCCATCAAGCAAAAGCATCCAGTATCTGATCTGATTCCCTCCCCTCTTATTTCTAATTACTGGTATTTAGGCCCTTGCAGTTTGGGGGGGGGGGGGAAATGCTGTGGTCTAAACCACAGAGCCTAGGGCTTGCCGGTCAGAAGGTCGGCAGTTGGAATCCCCGCGACGGGGTGAGCTCCCGTTGTTCGGTCCCTGCTCCTGCCAACCTAGCAGTTCAAAAGCACGTCAAAGTGCAAGTAGATAAATAGGTACCGCTCCAGCGGGAAGGTAAACGGTGTTTCCGTGCACTGCTTTGGTTCGCCCGAAGGGGCTTAGTCCTGCTGGCCACCTGACCCGGAAGCTGTACGCCGGCTCCCTCGGCCAATAAAGCGAGATGAGCGCCGCAACCCTAGAGTCGGTCACGACTGGACCTAATGGTCAGGGGTCCCTTTATCTAGGCCCTTGCAGTTTTTTTTTGGGGGGGGGGGGAATGCTTTCAGTTTTTTCAGCAACCACAAATGTTGAAGACTAAAAGAGTGAATCGAATTCCACCCACTATATCCCTCCCCCAGCCTTGTTTTTAATTAACCTCATCTACTTCCTACAATTGTAGAGCTAAATCAGATGAGGGTAACTGATGGGTCTCAAACCCTTGGTGAGTTAGCTACTTCCCCTGGATGCAAAGATTGGCTTTGGTGGATTGAGAGGACAAAACCAAGAGGGGGTCCAACAGTTAACAAAGCAGTTTCTGTACATTGAGCAGAGGGTTGTAAGGGGCGGGTGGGGGTCGTCCACCTGGGAGAGTAGACCATCTAGGAGAAGGCAAAATCTGATCCTAAACCTCCGCTGCCTTGAGGGATATCTTTGGGAGAAAAAAAGGCTCATGAGTAAACCCTACAAAAATCCAGAGTGGAGTCCCTAAGACGGTTGGATGATGCCTTGTACACCTCCATCCAGCAACTTTGCAGCCAAGCTGGTACCAAACGTAATGCTCTGCTTTCCTTTGGACCACATCAGCAAGGCTGAGAGAGGGGCCTTGTTGTCTGGGTAGCCCAGGACCTCCATAATCACTGCCCAGGTTTGTGGCCTGGGGAGGAGACAACAATCTCTCAAAGGACTTGTTGATGGCATTTTACCATTGTACTGTGGAGAGTGTATTAACTTATGGTGTGTGGTTTGGGAGCTGCATGGTAAGGGAAAAAACAATGCTGTCCAGGGTTGTAAAGACTGAGGAGAATAACTGGGTGCACTCTTCCCACCTTAGATCAAATCTATGCTTCTAGGTGCCATAAGAAAGCTGCAGAGATAGAGCAGGATAGTGCGCACCCCAGAAATGATCTCTTTCAGCTTCTGCCTTCTGGAAGAAGGTCCAGGGTTATAAAGACTAGGACTAGCTGCCTGAGAAACAGTTTCTACCCAAGTGCAATTCTGGTTTTAAACGCAGTATAAGGAGTCTCTATAGGAGTATATTGTATTTTAAAATGGGGTTTCAGAGTTTTTAGGGTTTTTTGAATGTCTTCTGTAGATTTTTCAATTTCATTGTTCTGTATGGGACAAGGACAATAAAGATATCGGATCGTGCAGCTAGTGCAGTGGATGCGCACTCCATTTGGATATAGACAAGGGAGATCTAATCAGCATAGGTAACTGAAAAGGGGTAGCATGCTCAATCTCTTGAAATCACAAACTTGAAAGCTTCCATTATTCCCTCATTTGCCAAAAAGAAGGGAGGGGTCCATTGTTACAATTACCTGTAGGGAGTTTGTCAAATCTGGGTGCTTCTGTCTGCCCTGAAGGCAAGAGGTGTTCCAGCTCCTTTTTTATATATATATAAAATAACCACTCTATTGACCTGAACAATTATCCAGTGTGAAATTTACTGTTCTTAATTAAGGTATTAGCATCAGTCATGCTGTTCCAGTTTCGGACAGTCCTGGATGACACTGATTATTTGGATTCATTCCAGGCTGGCTTCCAGCCTGGTTTCAGAATGGAAATCACCTTGGTCATGGTGGCAGATGATCTCTGGGAGATCAGGGTAAACCTGTTGGCAATTCAGGCTGTCTCAGCACCATGACAGAAAGGATTTCTTTCTCTCTCTTTTGCCTCTTCGAAGATAGATATATATGAATGCTTTTAGTGCCCCAATGGATTTGATATTGTGCATTCTTATTTTTATTTACTTATTATTACCTGCCCTTTGCCATAAGGTCCCAGTGTGTGTTATGGCATTGAAAGCAACATTGATAAGCAAGAAGGAACTAGAAAATGTTAAGGAGTAACAATTGGATACAAATGATAACAGAATGCAGAGATTGGTGTAAGATGTAAAGAACCAGTAGAAGGGGGTGGAAGGAAATCTTGAGGTTTAAAGAGCCTCAAAAGAAGACTTGCAAAATAGTAGGATCCCTTATTAGAAGTTCAAATGTTAGATTGTGCTTTGATTTTTGCATCCTTATTGTTTCCTGCCTGTGAAAATTAATAAAAATTTATTTACAAAAAAAAAAAAAAGAAAGGAAAGCAACGTTGATAAAATGGTTTGATTTTCTACCTGTAGAAGCCATTTTGGCGTGCAAGAGAGGGAGATAGGGAGCTGCGGTAATCGAGATCGGGCCTTTTCTGCGCTTGTGTGATGCTCTCCCCGCCCCGGGAGGCTCCCGGTTTGGGTGGACGGCTCTCCCGGGGACACCTTTAGGCGATCGGGCATTATTCCTCTCCTCCGGGGCCTCCGGCTGATATTAGACAACGCGTGGGGCCTTTGCAACCGCGGGGTGGGGTTTATCGCTTTGTTCTTAGGCTACGTGTTTCTGCCTTTTCGGGGACCGGCAGCCGATCTGCGACGACCGGCGGCAGCTGCGACACCGAATCGGAGCCGCTTCGCTTCCAGGCACCGGTGTCAGCGCCGGGAGGAGGCCTCCTCCCTCCCTCCCTCCCCGGCCTGGCGATGCCGCGGGGGCCGCCCGCTTCCAAGGCAGAGGAGAGGCGCCTCGGCGGGGAAGGAGGAGACGACGGAGGAGCCCGACTGTGAGGGGAATCCGATCCGGAAGGGGGGGGCTCCGTCGCCCCCCCTCCCCCCCCCGCTCCGTGGGCCTCAGGGGCGGAAACCGTCGGCCCCCCCCACGGCCATTTTTTAAAGCAAGGCGATGCCTTGAAGGCGAGGCCGGGCCTTTCTTTTGTTGCGCGGCTCCACCCGCCTCCCCCCCCCCGTTTGCCGCCACGCCCCTCCCCCCACCGCCGCATTCCTGTCACGGAGGACCCCTCCCGTCGCCATGGCAACGACATCCCCTCAGCGACAACCCCCCCTCAGAACCGGGCTCTCACTCTCTCTCTCTCCCGTAGTAGGCCTCGGGTCTTACCCGGCCCCCGCGACCACTCCTCGGTGCTTCTCTCGGCGACGCGCTCCGCTCTCCCCTCAGGCCATCCCGAGGCGGCCCTGAGACCCTCCTGCGCGCGCGCGCACCGCCGGCCGTCCCCTTCGCAGCCGCCGTAGCGCCGCGCGGACGTGGTGCGCAGGCGCGGACGGGGCGCCGCCGCCCCGCCCTCCTCTCTTCCCTCCCTCCCTCCCTCCTCCCTCCCCCGGGGTTTCCAAGGAGACCAGCTGCCCGCCTTCCTTTCTTCCCTGCCACCCCAGCGGCTCCTCCTGATTGGGGCGCGGCAGGCGCCGCCCCTCGAGCGGGAGGACCGTCGCCGATTGGTCGGCGCGGCGGGCGCGCGGGAAGAAGGGAATCGCCTCAGAGCGCGGGGGGAAGGAGGCAGAGGTAACGGAGCGCGGCCGGACGCCTGGGTTCCTTCCAGCCTTGGGAGGGGGAGGGATCCCCGGACGCCTGGGTCCTTTCCAGTGTCCTGAGGAGGGGGTGCCCGGACGCCTGGATCCCTTTATCCCAAGGAGGGGGTGCCCGGACACCTGGGTCCCTTTCAGTGTCCTGAGGAGGTGGCACCCGGACGCCTGGGTCCCTTTCAGAATCCCGAGGAGGGGGTGCCCGGACGCCTGGGTCCCTTCCAGCCTTGGGAGGGGGAGGGATCCCCGGACGCCTGGGTCCCTTCCAGTGTCCTGAGGAGGTGGCACCCGGACGCCTGGGTCCCTTGCAGTATCCTGAGGAGAGGGTGCCCGGACGCCTGGGTCCCTTCCAGCCTTGGGAGGGGGAGGGATCCCCGGACGCCTGGGTCCCTTCCAGTGTCCTGAGGAGGTGGCACCCGGACGCCTGGGTCCCTTCCAGTATCCCGAGGAGGGGGTGCCCGGACGCCTGGGTCCCTTCCAGTGTCCTGAGGAGGGGGTGCCCGGACGCCTGGGTCCCTTCCAGTGTCCTGAGGAGGGGGTGCCCGGACGCCTGGGTCCCTTCCAGTGTCCTGAGGAGGGGGTGCCCGGACACCTGGGTCCCTTTATCCCAAGGAGGGGGTGCCCGGACGCCTGGGTCCCTTCCAGTGTCCTGAGGAGGGGGTGCCCGGACGCCTGGGTCCCTTCCAGTGTCCTGAGGAGGGGGTGCCCGGACGCCTGGGTCCCTTCCAGTGTCCTGAGGAGGGGGTGCCCGGACGCCTGGGTCCCTTCCAGTGTCCTGAGGAGGGGGTGCCCGGACGCCTGGGTCCCTTCCAGTGTCCTGAGGAGGGGGTGCCCGGACACCTGGGTCCCTTTCAGTGTCCTGAGGAGGGGGTGCCCGGACACCTGGGTCCCTTTCAGTGTCCTGAGGAGGTGGCACCCGGACGCCTGGGTCCCTTTCAGAATCCCGAGGAGGGGGTGCCCGGACGCCTGGGTCCCTTCCAGTGTCCTGAGGAGGGGGTGCCCGAACGCCTGGGTCCCTTCCAGTGTCCTGAGGAGGGGGTGCCCGGACGCCTGGGTCCCTTCCAGTGTCCTGAGGAGGGGGTGCCCGGACACCTGGGTCCCTTTCAGTGTCCTGAGGAGGGGGTGCCCGGACACCTGGGTTCCTTCCAGTATCCTGAGGAGGGGGTGCCCGGACGCCTGGGTCCCTTCCAGTGTCCTGAGGAGGGGGTGCCTGGACGCCTGGGTCCCTTCCAGTATCCTGAGGAGGGGGTGCCCGGACGTCTGGGTCCCTTCCAGTATCCCGAGGAGGGGGTGCCCGGACACCTGGGTTCCTTCCAGTATCCTGAGGAGGGGGTGCCCGGACGTCTGGGTCCCTTCCAGTATCCTGAGGAGGGGGTGCCCGGACGCCTGGGTCCCTTCCAGTATCCCGAGGAGGGGGTGCCCGGACGCCTGGGTCCCTTCCAGTGTCCTGAGGAGGGGGTGCCCGGACGCCTGGGTCCCTTCCAGTATCCCGAGGAGGGGGTGCACGGACACCTGGGTTCCTTCCAGTATCCTGAGGAGGGGGTGCCCGGACGTCTGGGTCCCTTCCAGTATCCTGAGGAGGGGGTGCCCGGACGTCTGGGTCCCTTCCAGTGTCCTGAGGAGGTGGCGCCCGGACGCCTGGGTCCCTTCCAGTATCCCGAGGAGGGGGTGCCCGGACGCCTAGGTCCCTTCCAGTATCCTGAGGAGGGGGTGCCCGGACGCCTGGGTCCCTTCCAGTATCCTGAGGAGGGGGTGCCCGGACGCCTGGGTCCCTTCCAGTATCCTGAGGAGGGGGTGCCCGGACGCCTGGGTCCCTTCCAGCCTTGGGAGGGGGAGGGATCCCCGAATGCCTGGGTCCCTTTCAGAGCCCCTCTTCGGGGCAGGGGTCTCCCCTTCTGCTTATCTTTCTCATGTACAGGGATGGCTGCCACAGTGTTGTGTTTCATGGTGGGGGGCGGGGGAAGCCCAATGGGAACTTGATCACGGCATCCTTAGTGGGTCCAGCTAAGAATCCCAAAATCTATATATAATAATAATTTATTATTTATACCCTGCCCATCTGACTGGGCTTCCCCAGCCACTCTGGGCGGCTTCCAACAAAACACTAAAATACAATAGTCTATTAAACATTAAAAGCTTCCCTAAACAGGGCTGCCTTCAGATGTCTTCTAAAAGTCTGGTAGTTGTTCTTCTCTTTGATATCTGGTGGGAGGGCGTTTCACGGGGCGGGCGCCACCACCGAGAAGGCCCTCTGCCTGGTTCCCTGTAACTTGGCTTCTTGCAGGGAGGGAACCGCCAGAAGACCCTCGGCGCTGGACCTCAGTGTCAGGGCAGAACAATGGGGGTGGAGATGCTCCTTCAGGTATACAGGACTGAGGCTGTTTAGTGCTTTAAAGGTCAGCACCAACACTTGAATTGTGCTCGGAAACGTACTGGGAGCCAATGTAGGTTTTTCAAGACCAGTGTTATGTGGTCTCGGCAGCCACCCCCAGTCACCAGTCTAGCTGCCGCATTCTGAATTAGTTGTAGTTTCTGGGTCACCTTCAAAGGTAGCCCCACATAGAGCGCATTGCAGTAGTCCAAGCGGGAGATAGCTAGAGCATGCACCACTCTGGTGAGACAGTCTGCGGGCAGGTAGGGTCTCAGCCTGTATACCAGATGGAGCTGATAAACAGCTGCCCTGGATACAGACTTGACCTGCTCCTCCATGGACAGCTGTGAGTCCAGAATGACTCCCAGGTGCGCACCTGGTCCTTCAGGGGCACAGTTGCCCCATTTAGGACCAGGGAGTCCTCCACACCTGCCCGCCTCCTGTATCACATGTGGTGGCAATGTAAAGAAATCAAGGTGTTCTGGAAGGATATCCATTCCGAATTGGGGAAAATGCTAAAAATATCTTTTAGCAAAAAACAGAAGCTTTACTAGGAATCACAGATTTGGATATTCCTAAAAAAGCAGAACTTTTTCTCTATGCTACAGTTGCAGCAAGAATACTCATTGCGACAAATTGGAAAAGTGATAAAGCCCCTTCTATATCAGAGTGGATCCAAAAAATGACCGAATATGCAGAATTAGACCATTTCTCAGAAAGAATAAAAAATAAATCAAAGGAAGTATTCACCACAAAACGGGAAGTCTTTAAAATTTATTTGAAAAATAGTAATGGCAGTTTGAAGTCTGTAGCAGCATTTGAATAACTTCAAGTAGGAATTTTAAATCTAATGGAATACCTAGGCTAGAATAAATAACATTAAAGCCAAAATATGCTATAATATGGCAGTGAATAATGGATGAGAAATAAAAGTAAGCAGTAGACAGGAAGTCAGATACATAGGAAAAAGTCATTTTATGTTAAATGCATTGTGAGCACTATTCAATGTATTGTTGTTTTTATTTTATTTTTCTGTCTTAGTTGTTAGGAGGTGATGGATATTTGCTTATCTTCGTATTTTTTTGTATGTGGTGTATTAAAATGAAATAAAATATACAGTATTTTTTAAAAAAAAATCCCCAAAGAGTTAAGTTCCCACAGAACTTCCTCTGACTTAGTTCGCATGTGATGCAGGCATGTGAGAGATCTCAATGTGTGCCAGAGCATACTTTGGCAGAGAAGCAATGTACATTCTCTTTTGGAATCTAGTGTTATAAGAAAAAAGTGCTCCATTCCCCTTATGGGGTAGCCAAGAGCCTGTATAGAATCCTTATGTAGGTTCTCTATCTGTAGGAGAAAATAAAAGAGGCCAACCAATGAATATTGAGAAGCAAAGCAGCTAGTAAGCCAGATCTTTATTAAACTGTTACAACAGGGTGATCACACCACCCACACAGGAGGAAGGAGGAACCCTGAACATTGGTGTGTGAGCCCTTATATAGACTTTTGAATTTTTCCACCCTGTAGCTCAAGACCCCCCCCCCCCAATACATCACACAAGGGGCAGTCTACAGCAGAATCCTGCCTGGCAGCAAACCTGTTAATGCAGTCATAGGCAAACTCCGTCCCTCCAGATGTTTTGAGACTACAATTCCCATCATCCCTGACCACTGGTCCTGTTAGCTAGGGATGATGGAAATTGTAGTTCCAAAACATCTGGAGGGCCTATGCCTGTGTTTATGGGTTTACTTGGACAGCCTGGCCATTCTTTTGTGATGATAAATACTTCATTCCCGAGTCCAGGTCACAGGCTCACCCTATTTGTACACCAATGTGCCCTTAAGGCAGGATTTGTGAGCACAGAGACAGTGGGGAGGCTTTTCCCATTTCCATCCAAACTGCAGAGGAATATTTGAGGTCACTGAAAGAGTCAAAATGGCTTTAAGACTGTTTTCCTGTACTGGTTCAGACGTGTGTTTTATATATTTATGTATGTGTTTGCCTGGTCCATTTATGAACATTTATTTTTTATTTTTCTTAGATCTTATAATTCTCTTAACAATAGAAAGTGACTGTTATTTAAATAAATAAAAACAAATGCAGCACTATTTATTTATATCCCACCCTTTTCCCCTGACTGTGACCTAAGGGGTTTACAGCTAAAATAAAAACAGCTAAAAACATGGGGGGGGAGCAATAATTAAAAACTATTAAACAGAGATATAATTTATTTTATTATTAAATGTATTTCTTTATTATTATTTATTAAATTTATATACCACCATATACCTGAAGGTCCCAGGGCAATTCACAACAGAAAAACACAAAATGAGTTTTGTTTTAAAAGCCTTAGAATGTTAATCAGCCAAGCACGCCTGGTTGAAGAGGCGTTTTAAGAAGATGTAATAAAAACATACAGATAATTACAATAAGAACAGCACAGCACCAGCCATTTCCTTAAAAGCAGCCAGTACTGAAAAGCTTGTTGAAACAAGAATGTCTTCACCTGCTGGCTAAAGGACAGTAAGGAGGGAGTAAGTCTTATCTTCTCTAGGGAGGGAGTTCCAGAGTTGTCTGGGTGCAGCCATTGAGAGGGCCTTATGTCATCTATATTGATTACACTGTTTAAATAATAATAATTCATGAACAATATTAAATCTGAAAGTTGCATGCTCCAATTATGAATTGCCTGCTGTGTAACATACAGTGGTGCCTCGCAAGACGAAATTAATCCGTTCCACGAGTCTCTTTGTCTTGCAGTTTTTTCGTCTTGCGAAGCACGGCTATTAGCGGCTCTTAGCGGCTTAGCAGCTATTAACGGCTTAGCGGCTATTAATGGCTTAGCGGCTTTAAGAAAAAGGAAACAAACTCACAAGAACTCGCAAGACGTTCTGTCTTGCGAAGCAAGCTCATAGGGAAATTCGTCTTGCGGAACGACTCAAAAAACGGAAAACCCTTTCGTCTAGCAAGTTTTTCGTCTTGCAAGGCATTCGTCTTGCGGGGCACCACTGTATTCTGGACTTGCAGTGCGGCCTCCTGCCTGCTACCAACCCGGCTCTGAAGGGTTCTTTTGGAACATATTAACCTAAAACTTCTGTCTTCTTGTGCAGTTTTTGGAAGCCTGTCTTTGGGGAGCGATGGACAGATGTAGCAAGGTGAAACGCCTGCTGAAAAACTGGGAGGTTTTGTTTTTTCAGGAGCACCAGAGGAAACCTGGAAAGGTATTTGGAACACTGTAGACTAGGATAGACATTTGAGTTATTGCTGAGAGCATGTCTGTAGCCATTCACATTTCTAAAATTATCCTGACAAATTTGCACCTGTTTTCTAGGCTGATGTTGCAACGGCTCCTGAAGAGGTCAGACGTAAGTGTAACTCTTCTCCATAGCATATTTGTTTTTGTCTACTGCGGTAGTGGAAGGGACGTTAATCAAGGGGACAGCTTTTATTTTTGGTATAGTTTAGATCAGCTGGCAAGTTTTGCAAATAAGTTGCTCCCCAGAGTCACGTGTATCCTTCCCAGTTCCCTACGGTGGTAAGGAGAGCCTAGAACTCTAAAACCCTGTAACTCCTTCTAATTAAAACACAAAAATTCAGCTAGCAGAATAATTGCCACTGCTCATTTTAAGAACACATTGTCTTAAGGTAGGAAGAGCTTGGTTGGTTCAGGGCAACCTCTCTATTCCAGCACCTTTCCCCTGCAAATGCCTCAGTGGGAAGCGTTGCAGAAGAGAAGATAAATGAAGTTAAACAATAGCATACAAACATTATAAAAGACAAGGTAGCATTGCAAATCTAAAGTATGATGCAGAGCTGAGAAACCCTAATTGAATAACAATTACTGTTAGGGATCTGAGGTGAGAAACCTATGTAGCAGAAGTTGCCCCAAGTTCCATTTACCGCACAGAGGCAGGTCCAAAATGGTTTACTGCTTTAGAAGATTAGGTTCAGTAAAACAGTTCCAGACATTGATATATAGACATATAGTTTGTAGGCTTTGCAGATACAGATATAAAGTATTCCTGTTGCTCCAGAAATTCAAGATGTAACACAGGCTCCAACTCATGGACAGACTGACCCCAACACTCAGGCAAGACCCCAAACACGTTTAGCACAAGACTCAAAACGCTGAGATGATGTGCCTTAATCACTTATATAGTCAGCACTGGGCCATTGCCATCTAAATTTGTTTTATTTGTGTAGGGGTTTTCGGTGTACAAAATGCTTTTCCATTCACTTAATATGCTTTTCTAGTAGCTGTGAAATTTGACCCCTTATAACACATGGAAGCATGATTGCAGAAAGGTACTGTAGCTGGCTGGCTGTCTTAAGGAGATTCAGGCCAACAGTCCATCTTTAGAGTGTTGTCATTCCTGATTGGCAGCAGCTCTGTGGAGCCATGGCCTGTCAGATGGTGGGGGGGGGACTTTGTGCATTGAAGCTCTCCATCTCTTCATCTCAGCCCCTTGCAACATTAACTGTCTCTTCGTTCATCTCAAGCTGCAGGCCTCAATGCCTAACCCAGTGGGTGAATTTCTAAACATATACTATCAGAACAAGACCTCCTTACAGGCAGGCTCTTCTCAAATCATTATCTATTGTAGAACTGTCACACTTGAATATTACTACTACCTTAGGGAGAGTGTGTATGCTGGGTTTGATAGACCCCAGAGTTGATTTGGGCAGGTAATTCCTCGTCAGCTTAGAAGTCATTCTGAACTGCTATTTGTGCACAGAACTGTACAAAGAGTACAAGGCACTGAAAGAAACCAAAGGACACCAAAGCCTTGAATCTGAAGCCATCTGCCAGAAAGAAATTCAGGAGCTGCCAGTAACAGAACAGGTAACAAAGGAGCTTTGTGTTTTGCAGTTGTGATCTTGTCTGTGGGTACTGACCTTGCAGGGGAAAGGCTTGAGCCCATGTTTGTATTATCAGTTCAAAAACGCCTGCAGCCTGTTAACACCCCCATCTCCATTTTTATCACCTACAGCCTCTAAATGTGAACCAGATGAAGCTGTGTTGGGGCTGAACTGTTTTCAGAAGGCAATAAGGTGTTAGTGTGGTGTAGTGGTTAGAGGCTTGGACCACGTCTTGGGAGATCAGGGTTCAAATTCCCACTCAGCCATGAAGATCACTAGGTGGGCTTGGGCCAGTCACTCACTCTCAGACTGACCTACCTCACATTAAGTTGGGAGGAGAACTATGAATACCACCTTGAGCTCCTTAGAGGAAAAGTGGGATATAAATGTAATAAAAGTATAAATAGTTGGAGAGTGATAGCAGTTACATGGAAAACGAACTACAATATGGATATGTAAACTTAACTATTAAACTTAACTCTGCACAGACTTGCAAGTAAAATTTACAAACATTAGCGTTGCATGCCATAATTACCCTCTAAAACTTCTGCCACTATTTTCCTTCCCCCTCCCCTCATCTCTATTCCAAGGTACCTGAGTCAGGTTGCTGGGGTGCGCACCTGAATCGAGGAAATATGGCTCCTAAACTGACCCCGCAGGATCAAGAGACACTGCAGGCTTCTGTAAAGTATTTTGGCATGAAGCTGAAATGCAACTTGGGATCAGCTATTAAGGTTTGTGTGATTGGTGAGTGACTAATTCTAGCCTTGAGCCCAGGCTGAGTGCAGGGACAGGGCAGCTTCTGAAGGCTAAAGATCCTTGAGGAAACAAAAGGACTAACTCCATTTAATCTATGCCTGCGATATGATCTAGTCTTTGCACTTCCTTCCATTTCAATGATGCCTGCAAACTTGATGAGCACCTTGAACCAGACGAAGGGATAAGGCTGTTTGTAAAGTCTGAGCTCATTTCCCTTACCTAAATAATTACTTATCTGTATAATTTGACCTTGCAGACGCATGAACACGCATTTCCCAATACTAAGTGAGATTTTGTCCGCTCTCACTGGGTGTCCAAGGTTTTTTCTCAGCTCTGGTGTTTGATCTCCTTTAACTGGAAACCCCACAGAAGGAACCTGAGACTTGTTATGTGGTTCAAAACTTGCTGAGGAAGAGCTATCCATTTAGCAAAGATTTCCAGTAGGGAAGGGAAAGATGTCTGTTGTGCTTAGCTTCAAAGGTTTTCTGTTCCGGTATAAAATAAGAGGAGAAAGTTTTGGGGATATAGGTAGGTTCACTTGCTGGAAACTAACTGAATTTTACTTTTGATCTCAGGAACGCCCTGTAACTTTAAGGAAATCCCTCACCCCCAGGAGGAAGTCAGTCACAGCAGCGCAGAAGGACATGCACCAAACCACCGCAAAGGCCGTGTCTCCCAAACCACCTGAGGCTCCTTTGCTAGAAAATAGCCCAGATCAGCTGCTTTGCCCCGATCCCATGGAACTTGAAACCCTTCTGCCACCTTCATTCCCAGGGCTGATTCCTAACAAGCTCCTTTGCTCTGACCCAAAGCCAAGGCCGCCACCTCCGCTGGATAAGTTTCGGCAGCTCAAGCAGACACTGACCAGGCGGCTGAGTAGCCTGGATCCTGGTTGGCTGGACAGGTGCCAAGGGGCAGAATGGCAAGCAAGAGAGGGGCTCCCTGGAGACGGCTCTTCTATCCCAGGCAGCGGGGCAGATCCAGGCCAGGGCTCACCAGGACACAATTCTCAGGGGAAAGGGGGTGTTCCTCCCCACCTTGGAGAGCAGGAACAGGAGAAGTGTTGCAATTCTCCCAGGGAAAACAGTCAAGGAGAGGCGGTGGAGAGCCAGCCCCTGGTCCAAAGTGTTGGAGATGACTGTAAGCCCAGTGGGCAAGCTAACCATCCTGCAGGTGAGACCCCATCCAAAGCAGGTGCAAACGCAGCACTCTCTGAGGGCAAAGCTGAGTTTTCTGCCTTCAAGCATAGCCGCAAACTGGAGATTTGCGCCAAGGAGGCCACTCAGGAAACCGAGATGCAGCTTCGGGAAGGAACTTCGCCGCAGTTGAGTGGTGCTTTCTGCAAAGTGGAGGACAGGCAGCAGAGGAGTCCTTCTAAGAGAGGAAAAGCTTCTTGCAAGAAGAGGAAACGGGATGCTGAAGCCCACGGAGATGATGGCAAGGACAAGTCCCACAGTGGCACCTCTGGCGTAAAGCGCAAGAGAACTAAAGAGGTAGCGGGAGGAAGCCGCTTCAAAAAACTGCGTGGTGCTAGTCAAAAGCCAGGGCTCAGTGAATACGACTTTGATGATCAGGACATTGTTGAGGCACAAGACAAAAGTGGAGCAGGCACCCCAGTTTGCTTTGAAAACCTACTTGGAGAAGTCGATGGGGAGGAGTGTCCCAGACAGAGTGAGAGATCCAACAGTCTGGCCTGCAGGTATGTCCAGGGAGCTTTCTGGAGCTGGCGATTGTTGCTCCTCTTGTCTGGCCAAGGAATAGCCTGGAGAGTTGCTATTTAAGAGAAAGAGTGGCATCCTCAAAGTACAACTTAATCTAATATTTTCTCCTCTGTTTCGGTATATGCTTATAAATTTGTACTGGAAAGTGAATGGTTTGTGCAGTCCATCTCTCCTGATGTCCCTATCCTGATTTTGCATTCTACAAATTACTGTCACATAAAATAGTCATTTCATGCAGTACCTTCCTACAGTGTTTCTCCGTGCTGACACCTTGCATGGTTTTGTTTTAACCCTACAGTGTCACCCTTCCTTTTCCACTTTGAGGATGTTTTACCCTCAAAGACTTGTGTTCACCTAGCGAGAGAGAGAGAAGAGAGATCTCAGAAGTTTTTTGAGAATTACAGTCCCTTGGGACGCGGGTGGCGCTGTGGGTTAAACCACAGAGCCTAGGACTTGCCGATCAGAAGGTCGGCGGTTCGAATCCCTGCGACGGAGTGAGCTCCCGTTGCTCGGTCCCTGCTCCTGCTAACCTAGCAGTTCGAAAGCACGTCAAAGGGCAAGTAGATAAATAGGTACTGCTCCGGTGGGAAGGTAAACGGCGTTTCCGTGCGCTGCTCTGGTTCGCCAGAAGTGGCTTAGTCATGCTGGCCACATGACCCGGAAGCTGTCTGCAGACAAACGCCGGCTCCCTCGGCCAAAAAAGCGAGATGAGCGCCGCAACCCCAGAGTCGGTCACGACTGGACCTAATGGTCAGGGGTCCCTTTACCTTTACCTAGGGTCTTTAGGGGCTGGTGGGAATCAGGACTGCTTTGGTGCTTAAGTCTTTGTGCCTTTTTGCCAGTGACTGTTAAGGCCTGAGCAAGAGTACAACTAAACACGAGGCACCCTATTTTGAACTGTTACAATAAAGGGATCTTACCTCTTTCTAGACCACCACCAAAGAAGGATGGCAACTTTGTGCGAATCAATCTCAAGAATAAATCTCACGTGAAAGGGTACGCTTTGAAAGGGAGGCAGCTTCGCAAGCAGGTAAATTGCCTCTTGACTCAGTGGTATTTACAGCCTGTAAAATAGAATGAATCACATCTGAGTGGAACTTCCAACTGTTGAAGTAGCCTGTTTGCTCTGGAGGGAATTGAATTCAATTTTGTATTTAGTTTCACATGAAGAAGAATATTTATGTTTAAAACATTTTGGGAAATGACATCTACTCTCAACGGTTTTGCCGTTTCTTCATTTGTTTGTGTGGGGTGGGTAGGTCTCTGCCTCATTGCACTTCTACATGGGTGGGGGCCACAGTTGTTATAGAATGGTAGAGTTGGAAGGGACCCCAAGGGTCATCTAGTCCAACCCCTGGCAGTGCAGGAATCTCACCTAAAGCATCTGTCAAATGGCAAAGGTGGTTGCTCACGAGTAACCAGGTAGGACTCCGACCTGTCTTTTACAGGTTTTATTTAGGTGTAAAAACTATTTACAGTGCGGAACTTCAAAGTTCATGTCTGCCTCAAACGCTAGCAGAATCCGGGAGTGCTTGTTTCCTGGACCTCCCCCAACATAAAAGCCTCGTTACTCCCAGCCTTTTCCTTCCCTCTTTGCGCTTTGGACCTCTGCGTAGGGTGGGCGGCGGAAGGGGCGTGCTTCCCTCCCGACCGGCTTGGCCAGGAGCGGTGCTGAGGCTCCCACAAGCATCCTCTGGTCCTTTCACCTCTTCCCCAGTGGAGGTGGGGCTTTCCTCATCACCCAAAGAGGAGAAGAAGAAGAAGAAGAGTTTGGACGCGAACCCAGTTCCCCAGATTATGAGTCCACCGCTCTTAACCACTACACCACACTGGCTCTCACAGGAACTGCTTTGCAAGGTTTTCGGAGGCTCCCTGTAACACAACTGCCCCTCTGTTTCCCGCCCCTGTTCTGATGGCAGTTCCCTGACAGCATCCATGACAGATGGCCAGCCTGCCTCTGCTTAAAAACTTCCAAGGAAAGAAAGCCCAACACCTCTCATGGGCTTGTGTATCAGTGTGTGGTTAGACAGTGAGTAGATGTCTAAATTTATAGATCTGAGTACATGAAGGCACACCTCTGGGAGGTAAGAGGTCACTAAAGCTGTGTGTGCTCCTGCAGTCTCTCACTCCTCCTGGTGGGCTGAGCTCTTCTGCCCCCTTCTCATTTCACTCCTCCTAGACCTGGGTGATGGGTGGGTGTGGCTCCAGCTGCTGAAAGGTGGCTGTTGACCCCTTCCCTTCAGGGCAGATGGAGCTATTCCCAGTCTTCAGTGGGCTTGTGTGTCAGGGCAGGGCTTTGTGTGTCAGCCTAGGACCCTGGTACCTACTGGACCGCCTATCCCGGTGTGCCCTGCGGAGGACCTTAAGGTCCCTAAATAGCAACACCCTAGAGGTCCCGGGCCCTAAGGAAGTCAGATTAGCCTCAACCAGAGCCAGGGCCTTTTCAACACTGGCCCCAGCCTGGTGGAACGCTCTGTCTCATGAGACCAGAACCCTGCAGGATCTGATTTCTTTCCGCAGGGCCTTTGGCTTGGAGTCAATTTGATTCCCTCCCCCTCTTTCTCTTTTCCTTTCTTCTCCTGTGATGAGGCTGCATTTTAATGTTTTAACATTGTATTTTAATCTTGTTTTTAAGTTGTATCCATTCAACTTGTTTTTATTATTGGTTGTTAGCTGCCCTGAGCCCGGCCTTGGCTGGGGAGGGCGGGGTATAAATAAAATTTCTTTATTTCTTTATTATTATTATTATTATTATTATTATTATTAGCTAAGCCCAGAGAGTCCGTCAGAGAGGGGATGAGCTCATGACTCCCATCACAGGGATAACTGGGGTGAGAGAACACTTTGGGGCACCCTCCTGCCAAATATTTGCTGACAGATTCCCCCACAAGCCACTGGAGCCATCAGCTGGGTCCTTGGCCAGCCCATGACTCACGCAGCCTGATCACAACCTCCTTTAGTGATGCAGGAGAGGCATCCATTGACTTTGTTGTAGTTTAGTCGTGTCCAACTCTTCGTGACCCCATGGACCAGAGCACGCCAGGCACTCGTGTCTTCCACTGCCTCCCGCAGTTTGGTCAAACTCATGCTGGTCGCTTTGAGAACACTGTCCACCCATCTTGTCCTCTGTCGTCCCCTTCTCCTGGTGCCCTCCATCTTTCCCAACATCAGGGTCTTTTCCAGGGAGTCTTCTCTTCTCATGAGGTGGCCAAAGTCTTGGAGCCTCAGCTTCAGGATCTGTCCTTCCAGTGAGCACTCAGAGCTGATTTCCTTCAGAATGGAGAGGTTTGATCTTCTTGCAGTCCACGGGACTCTCAAGAGTCTCCTCCAGCACCAGAATTCAAAAGCATCAATCCATTGACTTAGCCTTCGTCTTTTTGGTGTTTTGACAGGTATGGAAGCAGAAGTGGCAGAAAAAGGGGGAACAGTTTGGAGGAGGTGGCAGGCGCTTGGACCGAGGCTCTGACACTTGCTTCCGGTGTGGAGGACTTGGTCACTGGGCTTCCCAGTGCAAGGGGAGAGGTAAGGCCACCTGGCTGTCATGGCCAGATAGACCAGGTATTGGCATGCTTTGCATTAAGAGAACAGAAGACCTGTCGAGTTTGTTTTGGATGGCTACAAAGACTCTCACCAAAAAGCAGAAGGAATCAGTTGCAGAGTTTGCACAACTTCCTGCAATGTCTACAAGCCCTCACTGCCCTTTTATTAGGAAGCTACCAGCAGAGTCTTGATCTGGCTGTCAAGCACAAAGACAAGTAAAAAGTCCTCGTTGTAAACCAGTTGACCACTTTGTTGTGTTGACTCCATAAGATATTTTTTACAGTGGTACCTTGGGGTGCGAATGGGATCCGTTCCAGAGCCCCGTTCGCATCCCGAAGGGAACGCAAGACGTGACGGCGCGTGCACGGGTCACGTTTCGGCACTTCTGCGTATGTGCATGACGTCATTTTGATAGTCTGCGCATGCGCACGTGGCGAAACCCGGAAGTAACGTGCTCCGTTACTTCCGGGTCGCCGTGGAGCACAACCCGAATTTGCCTAACCCGAAGTGTATTCATCCCGAGGTATGACTGTATTATTAATCCTCAGGTGATTTTAGGTATGTTTTATCAGCTCTGGCCTTTCCTTCGGTTTGGTTTGGATTTTTAAATTGACTTGAAACCCACCCCGAGACTGTGAGATGAAAGCTGGGATAAATAAAACCAATCAATCAATAATTGCCTTATTTGGAAAATGCTTTTTCACTAACCTTTGCATAAGGAAATGAAGGCTACCTCAATTGTCCTGTGACATTGGAATGCTTTCTAAGGAAGACACTATAGGCCATAGGATTAGCACATCTAGCAGATAATGACTAAGTTTGTACATTAATATTAAACTCATGGTTTAGTTTTGCCTGTGTGAGCCTCAGGTTCTTGCCCATCCATGGAGTTTGGGAATTTTTGCTTCAGTTGTCAGCTAACCTTGGCTGCTAGTGATGTGTGGCGGGTGGTCTCTCATTAGTGGCATGTGGTTGTTTAGTTAACCCAGCCAACTTCAAACTGTGGGTAGTATTCTTAGCAATGGTTCTAGTGAAACAGGCCAACACTTGCCACAGTTCCTCGTTGGGGCATAATAAGTCAGGCAGCCCCAAACTCAGCCCTCCAGATGTTTTGGGACTACAACTCCCATCATCCCTAGCTAACAGGACCAGTGGTCAGGGGTGATGGGAATTGTAGTCCCAAAACACCTGGAGGCCCAAGTTTGGCCATGCCTGTAATAAGTCATTGTGGTTAGTTGAACGAGGAAGCTGAAACTTCTGGTCATCTTCCTGCAACTGCACCAAAGCCCAGGGCAACCTGGGCCATAGGCAAGTCCCTGGCCATCTTTGCAGAAGGAGGAGGAACCCAGGAGGCTGCCTTAGACCAGTAAACTCAGTATTGCCCATACATTGACTGGCAGCATCTCTTTAGGGTTTCAGATGGGAGTCTTTCCCTGAGCTACTTGGAGATGCCAGGGTTTGAACCCTTTGCATGTAAAGCAAGGTGGGCTGGACTTTTTTTTGGCCCAGGGGCCTCTTTCACCCTTTGTCAATATTTCAGGGGCCATATGCTGAAATGGCCACTCCATGTTCTTGCATGAAAACACAGGAACACAACCCCCTCCCCCTGACTGAACTGGGCAAATGGGGTGAGGGGGGCTGGCATTGTCTATCTTCCCTCGTCAAATAATCAAACTGATCAATAGGGAAAAGGTGATTTGCATCTACACCAGTGTGCTGGGCTGTGCCTACCCCACTGCTACCAGAATTTGTGGTCTTGGTGGCGCTGTGGGTTAAATCACAGAGCCTAGGACTTGCCGATCAGAAGGTCAGCGGTTCAAATCCCCGCGACGGGGTGAGCTCCCCAGTCCCTGCTCCTGCCAGCCTAGCAGTTCAAAAGCACACCAGTGCAAGTAGATAAATAGGTACCGCTCCGGCGGGAAGGTAAATGGCGTTTCTGTGCGCTGCTCTGGTTCACCAGAAGTGGCTTAGTCATGCTGGCCACATGACCTGGAAGCTGTACGCCGGCTCCCTCGGCCAGTAAAGCGAGATGAGCGCCGCAACCCCAGAGTTGGTCACGACTGGACCTAATGGTCAGGGGTCCCTTTACCTTTTTTTTTTTTTTTTTAATTATTTCACATAATTGTATATTTGTCTACTTTGTACACAATTTTTATTCAGTCTTGCACACAATGGCTTCTGCATGTCCTAGTGATAGCAAGCACCAATAAAAGTCTGATTTTAACAGAACGGCAAGTGCTTGAACTGTTTAGAGCTCAGCGTTAGTACACGGATCTTCCACCCAGTATCAGGAATGTACAAATGTCTTTATTCAAAGTACAAAATAAATTATCTGTAGGCATGGACAATGACTGTAAACGATTATGCATGTCTAAACTGAAACCCAGTAACTATTGTTACAGTGATTCTTCAAACACCGGCCCTTCTGCAGTCACTATTCATCCTGTTTCGCCCTGACCTGAAGTTTTACTTCAAACTGTCAAGTCACTCACTGTAGTTCCATGATGGGACATCCCTGTAGCTGAGCATTAGAACATGCCACCACCTCCCATGCCAGCCCCCATGCCTCCCATGGCAGCTTCCTTCTCCTCTTTAGGAATTTCAGTTACTACGGCTTCAGCTGTAGACAGAAGGGAAGCAACACCTGCTGCATCCATCAAGGCTGTCCTTACAACCTTCGTTGGGTCAATGATGCCTTTCTCTACCATGTTTACGAACTCGCCAAGCATGGCATCGTAGCCAACATCGGCTGCGCTTTGCATGATTTTCTCAACTATCAGCGATCCTTCAATGCCTGCATTCTTGGCAATAGTCATTGCTGGAATTTTCAGTGTTCTCTTGATAATTTCAATACCAATCTTCTGATCTTCATTGGCTGGAGTCAAGGTATCTAGTGCCGGAATGCACCGAAGCAGCGCACAGCCGCCTCCTAGAACGATGCCTTCCTCTACGGCAGCACGAGTGGCATTGAGGGCATCCGTGACTCTGTCCTTCTTCTCATTCACCTCAACGTCACTCGTTCCTCCAATCTTTAGTACAGCTACTCCGTCAGAAAGTTTGGCCAGGCGTTCATTGAGTTTCTCCTTTTCGTATTCACTTGTTGTAACCTCCAGTTGTTCAACTATTTCCTGAATGCGCTTTTCAATTTGTACTTTGTCACCTTTCCCTTTAAGTAGCAAACAGTCATCTTTTGTCACAATGACTTCTCCAACTTTACCAAAGTCATGAGGTTGAATGTCTTCTACATTTATGGTTAAGCCTTCTTCCCCAAACACAGCACCGCCGGTAGCAACTGCCATATCTTTAAGCTGATTTTTTCTATTGTCACCAAAACCGGGTGCTTTCACGGCAACAACCTGTAGGCCAACCTTCAGTCTGTTTAATACAAGGGTACTGAGGGCCTCTCCATCAACATCTTCAGCAATAATAACTAAAGGCTTGCGGTGATTATTGGCAATTTCAAGAGCTGGTACTATGGACTGAACACTAGAAATCTTCTTTTCACTGATTAACACGTAAGCATCTTGGAATTCACATTTCTGTCCTTTGGCTGTATTAATGAAGTAGGGAGAGATGTAGCCTCTATCAAACTTCATGCCTTCAATAATTTCTAATTCATCATTCAAAGTTTTTCCGTCCTTAACTGTGATAACACCTTTTCGTCCAACTTTTTTCATGGCATCAGAGATTATGTTGCCAATTTCCTTGTCGCCATTTGCAGATATTGTAGCAACCTGAGCAATTTCTTCTGGAGTTGTGACTGGTTTGGACAACTTCTTCAATTCCTCAATTACAGCATCTACAGCGAGCATCACCCCTCTCCTGATCCCCACTGGATTTGCTCCTTTGCTGATCATTTCAAACCCCTCCCTGGCAATCGAACGTGCCAGCACCGTTGCGGTCGTAGTACCGTCTCCCGCCTCTTCATTGGTATTGTTGGCAACATCCTGAACTAACTTGGCTCCAATGTTTTTGTACTTGTCCTTCAAGTCAATTGACTTGGCTACTGTCACGCCATCTTTCGTCACCTTAGGGCTTCCCCAGCTCTGTTCAATAATTACTGTTCTCCCCTTTGGTCCCAAGGTGACGGCCACAGCATCAGCGAGAAGGTCAACGCCCTGGAGCATAAGAGCTCTAGCATCTGCTCCAAATTTAACTTCTTTTGCATAGGATCTCGTAAGGTGCGGGGCCAGTGCTCTGGACACCGGCCTTATCTGACGCAGCACTGTTGGTAAACGGAGCATTTTCTTTGGCGGCGGCTCTGCGCTGGAAGCGGTTGCAGTACGAACGGCAGCGGGCTCGGCTCGGACCGCACGCGCACAGCCTGGGAAGCAGCGCGGCTCTCTCGCGACTCTCCTCCGCCGCCCCGCCCCTTCCTCCTCCGGGTCCCTTTACCTTTTATGGTCAAAGCAATTGCTGTTTGGGGGGCACAGCAGGCCCCTGAACTAGGGTTTACCACCCCTGATGTAAAGCACACGCTCTACTCCTTTTCCCAAAGGGGAAAGCATTTTCCTTCCATTGTTTTGATTGCTCCAAAGCAGCATCTCTTCTTCCTTTAGCTGCTACTGAGCAGCTCTCTGCTGCTGACCCCCAACAGAAGGGAGATGACTCTGCTGCAGAAGAGGAGGTGCCACTGCTGACTTTGGAGGAAGTGGCTCAGATGACCAACACAGCCTACAGCAAGATCTCAGGTGAGAGGCAAAGGCTGCACCTGTAGCACCCTCCAGTCTGATGCTATGTGGTCTCAGATCAGGAAGAACTTGCCACAGGTCAGTTCCCGCTGTGCTATCAGGGCATTTTTCTGAAAGCAGATACAAGTGCCATGATGAAGAAACAATTTGGGGCTTTCCTTGCAGCTGGTATAGCGGCTGCAGCTGGTGCAACGACACTACGGTCCAGCTGGTATATTAATTAATAAATAATAAAGATAATAATATTCGTAACTTGTTGTTCCTCCCCCTCCTTCTTCCCCAGCAAAAAGTGAGAGCAGCCAGGGAGACCTGAAGCAGCTTGCTCAGGAGGAAGAGGTTCACCTGTGTGTGCAGAGGCCCGTGTTCGAAATTCTCCCACCACCTCCGCCAACAGAACCTCTCTACAAACTGGGGCAGGACGGGAAAGTCAGAGGTAAGTTTCCAAAGGGTGCCTCTGCTGCCCCCTGAAGGCTGGTTGTCGCCAGCCTCCATGCAGTGGTGAGGCAGAACTTACTGCAGAACTTGGTGCAGAATTTGTGCATCAGATCCCCAGTTAAAAGGCCCCAGTTAACAGTCGGTGTGGGGTTTTCCTAAAGTGCTTCTTGCCAGTTTTGTGAACAGGTTTCACTCTCACTGATAAGGGGTTTTGCAGAACGTCTACCTAAGTCTCTTTCTCCTGATGCTTCCATGAGTGTGGAATCGTTGCTGGGGACAGGCCTTGCCCCTTTCTTGACTGGATCTCTGTTCCGTGTCTTATGTAGAGACCCCACCAGAAGTGTTGGAAGCACTGGCTGAGTTGGGTTATGCCACCTTCCGGCCAGGACAGGAAACAGCCATTATGCGGATACTCTCAGGTGAGAAGGGTTGTTTGCAAGACAGGAAATGCAGAGTGAAAAAAAGGATGCCGTTTACTTGGATGTGCAGCCAAGCAGTTGTTGCTGGTGACCAGATGTGGTCTTGCTGCATCCTTTTCTAACCCTGTGGCCTCCAGATGTTTTGAACTACAATATGGCTGTGCTGACTAGGCTGATGGCAGTTATAGTCAAAGACACCAGGAGGGAAGTAGGTGGGGGAAGACTGTTGCCAGATGCAACTTCCAAGGAATGACCAAGCAACACTGAAGGGTTGAATTTATATAGGAGCTGATTGATATGGGGAGAGGTGTTGCAACAACAGTACCAGCTGCTTAAGGGTTTATATTTTAATGTTACCACCTTGAATTGAGTCAAATAACATGGAGTCATCAAATTGTATGACTTCCCCTGCATGCGAAGATAGGCTCCAGTGGATTGAGTGGACGAGACCGAGAGCGGGTCCAACAGTCAAGAAGGCAGTTCCTGCTCATGCTGTAGAGATAAGTGAGGGCAGATAGGACTCGTCAACCTAGGAAGGTAGCCCATTTAGGAGAAGGAAAACTGATCCTGAACATCCGCTGCCTTGCGGGATATCTTCAGGAGAAGAAAAGGCTAAGGAGTAAACCCTACACAAATGTGGAGCAGAGTCTCTAAGGCGGTTGGATGGCGTCTTGTACGCCTCCTTCTGGCAACTCCTGCAGCCCAGTTGGTTCTAAACGTCTTGCTCTGCTTTCCTTTGGACCCCATCAGTGAGTCCGAGAGGGGGGTCTCGTCGTCTGGGCAGCCCAGGACCTCCAGACACACAGCCCAGGCTTGTGCGCCGAGGAGGTTTGTCTTCACCCCCATACGCGCAGTCCCTTGTCACTTGAACAGACGGGTGCCAACAGCAATATAATTTTATACTTGGAAGGGACTCATCTGGATCCAACCTCCTTCAGTGCAGGAATCACTGCTAAAGGCAGCCTGTGCAGATTGCTGCTGCTGCTCTTAATTCTGCGACTTCTCTAGGGCTCTCTACGCTGGTGGTCCTGTCCACAGGAATGGGGAAATCTCTCTGCTACCAGCTCCCTGCGTACCTGTACAGCAAGAGGTCCAAATGCATCACCTTGGTGATCTCACCATTGGTATCGCTGATGGATGACCAAGTAAGTTTGCTGGTGCTTTTGGATTATTTGGAGGCTGGTGTCATTTCCTTGCTTGTGGTCCAGGGATTTGGGGGGGGGGGAGCTCTCCAGGCTCTAGATTTAGGAACACAGGGAACCTGCCTTATATCCAAAGCAGACCATAGGTCCATCTAGCCGATTTCCGTGCACCCATGTTCAGCCCATCGGGGTTAAGTACCACCTATACATCGTTTTCATAATATTTTCCTTTAGAACTGTACATGCAGTAAACTTAACCCCTCAGGTAGATGGACTCTGTGGCCTGGCGTTCACATGCAGCGGTATATCTGTAACAACAAATGTTGAGTTCAGCTTCTAAGAATATAATTTCGAATTATTTGCAAGCAGCTTCCCTTGAAAAGGTTTCCAACTCCAGTCTAAATCCTGGTTCTTAAGCAGTAAATTAGATCCCCTCCCTGCAAATCATTTCCCTCCCCCAACAAGTTTGATGGATGACATGATCCTAGCACCGGGGAATGAGTTTACGGTAAACCTCAGCATATCTCACCCCCTCAGAGGAAATTATGGAGGAGGGATAGCTTGCAAGGAGGTGGCTCTGGGAGCCTCAATGTGGCTTGAGGGGATCTCCATCTCTTTTGACTGTTCTGTGTCCACCATTGGTTCTTCAGTGACACACATTTTGTGCTTCCCTTGTAGGTCTCTGGCCTTCCCCAGTGCCTGAAAGCCGTCTGCATACACTCGAACATGTCCAAGACCCAGAGAGAGGCTGCTATGGACAGGGTGAGGCGACTGATGTAGAGGCTACGTAATCCTTGATGTAACTGCAAAATTCTAGGGTGCCCTGGGCTCCTTCCAGCCTCCGGTTTGCAACTTGTAAATAGTAATAAATTTGTATCATGCTGTCAAATGCTCAAAGCACAACATGCCTTTTTTAAAAAAATAATTAAATTTTATTTAACATAATTATTACAAAATACAAGCAAAATACATACAAAATCATACATATATTTTCCAGATAAGCACACACATATAAAAAAAGAACAAAAAAGAGAAAGGGAAGGGGGGAAACAAAAAGGAAAAATAAGAAAATTTGGAAGAATTTATTCTACATATATCTCAATAATAAAATTTCATTGATTGACTTCCATCGCTTACCGTGCACTTCCTATATACATCTTAAGCAAATGTGCATCTGTTATTCTGTATTTTTCCCATACAATCTCATACAAATATTCTAATCAATACCTGTAGTCTTTGTACAACAACCTGTGGGGCAAGTCAGCATTGTAGGACTTTTTAAATTATTTTAAAAGAAATGTTAAAATTGGAAATGATGGCTCACGACTTGCCGGCTTTCCATGCTTGCAGGTCAAGGCTGGGAAGGTTCATGTGCTCCTGCTGTCCCCCGAGGCCTTGGTTGGGGGAGGCGCCTCGGCCTCCAGTTGCCTCCCGCCAGCAGATCAGCTGCCCCCAGTAGCTTTTGCCTGCATCGATGAAGCACACTGCGTCTCAGAATGGTCCCACAATTTCCGTCCTTGTTACCTGCGCCTCTGTAAGGTATGGAATCTGTGCGCACAGAAGCAAGATGCGACACAGGTGTGTGCATGAGGAACACCTGCAAGCAGCAGAGCCTGGCTAGGTAACACCTTCTCTCTGGCAGGTTCTTCGGGACCGCTTGGGTGTGCGTTGCTTCTTGGGCCTCACAGCCACTGCCACCCTCTCCACTGCGCGGGATGTGGCTCATCACTTGGGCATCCCAGAGGCTAAGGGGATCGCTGTGCGTTCTGCTGCTGTCCCTCCAAACTTGCATCTCTCTGTCTCTGCAGACAGAGACAAGGACCAGGTGAGTCTGGGACCCGACTTGCTGCCTATCACTACCATGTGGGAGAGGCTCCATCTTCAGAAGTCTTTCTGGTTGCTGATTTCCAGCCGTATGTTGCGGAGTCTGGGGACTGTTGTAAACAAAATCTGCCCTTTTTGCCTTATGGGGTATCCAGGAGTCCTTATGTAGGTCCCCTATTGGTGGGAGAAAAGAACAGAGGCCAACCAGAGAATGTTGTTGTTTAGTCGTTTAGTCATGTCTGACTCTTCATGACCCCATGGACCAGAGCACGCCAGGCCCTCCTGTCTTCCACTGCCTCCCACAGTTTGGTCAAACTCATGCTGGTAGCTTCGAGAACACTGTCCCACCATCTCGTCCTCTGTTGTCCCCTTCTCCTTGCGCCCTCCATCTTTCCCAACATCAGGGTCTTTTCCAGGGAGTCTTCTCTTCTCATGAGGTGGCCAAAGTCTTGGAGCCTCAGCTTCAGGATCTGTCCTTTCAGTGAGCACTCAGGGCTGATTTCCTTAGGAATGGAGAGGTTTGATCTTCTTGCAGTCCATGGCTCTCTCAAGAGTCTCCTCCAGCACCATAATTCAAAAAGCATCCATTCTTCAGCGATCAGCCTTCTTGATGGTCCAGCTCTCACTTCCGTACATTACTACTGGGAAAACCATAGCTTTAACTATACGGACCTTTGTTGGCAAGGTGATGTCTCTGCTTTCTTTTCTTTCTTTCCCTTTCTTTAAAAAAAGCAGAAAAAGCAGAGACAACCAGAGAATATTGAGAAGGAAAGCAGTTACTAAGCCTGATCTTTATTGATCTGTTGCAACAGGGTCCTCACTCACCGCAACGCAGGAGGGAGGAGGAACCCAGAACAATGGCGCGCAAGGCCTTATATAGACTTTTGAAATTGCCACCCTGTAGATCAAGACTACCCCCAGAAACATCATACCTACATCACAGAAAAGGCGGTCTAAAACAGAAATTTGAATGTTGTTTTTCTCCTGTCGTTGTTTATCTCCTGTCTGGCAGGTTACTTGAATGGATACCCTGGGGAGCCTGGCCAGTCTTTTGTAGCGATAAATACTTAGTTCCTGGGCCAGGTCACAGGCTCACACACTATTCAAATCTTAAATGTGCCCTTAAGACAGGTTTTGTGAAGGAAAAAGACTATGGGGAGGTTTCCCACTTTGACCTTGCAGGGAAATAATTTGCTCAGTTTGGGAATCAAAATGGTTTCAGGTCGGTCTTCCTGTGCTGATCTATGTACGTGCTTGGTTGGTACACTTATGAACATTTAACGTATACCTAAGACCTCAAAATTCCTATCACATCCCTCGTCTCTCCGGTGATGGTCTTTTGGCATTCCCTTCTTCCACACTGAACAACGCACGTCGCTTTCCCTCGAGCATCTAGGGAGGCAGTCCTGTACCTCAAAGTTGCCAACTTTGCTCTGATTCCAGGCCCTGGTGAACTTGCTGCAAGGGGAGAGGTTTGGGAGCCTAGACTCGGTCATAGTTTACTGCACACGCCGCGAGGAGACGGCCCGGATCGCAGCCCTTATCCGCACGTGCCTCCAGGGTGTGAAGCTCAGAGAACCCCCCAGTGCTGAGGAGCAGGAGGAGGACAGCAGCAGCCTCGCTAGCAAGAGGAAGAAGGCAAAAGGTGGTGGTCACTGGCTTGGCTGGTTGTTGGGAGAGGCAGGCTGGGAAATGGTGGGGTCAGAAAACAGGAGAGCTGGTGGTTTTTTCTGTTGGGATACTGCCAGGGAGACAAAGTCCATCATGGCCCCACGTCGCCTCCGGACGTCCATCGATCTCCCGTAGACACGCAGTATCAGCAATTAGCGACACGAGCTCCAGAAATAGCTTGCCACATTCCAGAGCTGGTGCACGCTCTTATCAGCAGATAATGCACAGCGAAAGATGCACGCAGGAGAGCATTATTTAAGTTTATTCAGTGTTGGTCAGAACAAAGAAAAAACATGAGCGCCTGCTTCAGTGTTCAGGCACCGAGAGAGGAACGAAAGCAAAGGAAAACATAACTTCCTGTGAACAGGAAATACGCAGACTCTGTGACTCACAAAGCCTGCTCCCTTTTAAGGTGGAACGGAAATATCCTAACATTTTCTTCCAGTTCTCAGGCCAAATTGAAAATGCATTTATTTATAGCTGGCTCCACTCCAGAGGCCTGGAGTGTGTCATAATATTTTTTTTTAAGCTGAAATACCCTGTAAAAATATAACTAAAATGACTGGGAACCACCTAAATTCCAGCTACACAGTGGGTAAAGGTAAAGGGATCCCTGACCATTAGGTCCAGTCGTAGCCGACTCTGGGGTTGCGGCGCTCATCTCACTTTATTGGCCAAGGGAGCTGGCGTACAGCTTCCGGGTCATGTGGCCAGCATGACTAAGCCGCTTCTGGCGAACCAGAGCAGCGCATGGAAACGCCGTTTACCTTCCCACCGGAGTGGTACCTATTTATCTACTTGCACTTTTGACGTGCTTTCGAACTGCTAGGTTGGCAGGAGCAGGGACCGAGCAACGGGAGCTCGCCCCGTCACAGGGATTCGAACCGCCGACCTTCTGATCAGCAAGTCCTAGGCTCTGTGGTTTAGACCACAGCGCCACCTGCGTCCCCACACAGTGGCTACCTTGCACTTAACCCCAAGCTTCAGAGTGTATCGTGTAACATGTCCCAAGGAGATACTCGGGCACACAGAGCGGGAAACTGAAATATCCATACACCCTAGGAATCCTTGCAATGTGGCAAAGAACTCAGGGGCGCTCTCTCAGGTGACTCAGACTAGCTGCCTTTAACAGCAGCACAGCCTGCAGAAATTAAACAGGGCAGCTTCATGTTCCGCCAGGCCATTGGCCAGGTCTCAGCCTGACTCCCCTTTTCTTTGTGTATAAGAACTAATATGAAAGAGGCCTCCCAGCATTCTCACAGGCCCATATAAAATCAGCGTAAACAGTGGGCCGATGACCACTCACTGATCCCAACCCTAACCCTGCGGAAATCCATCTAATTAGACTTTGATTTTGACCTGTTTTTAGGAGGTAATTTAATTATTCTTTGATTTTCTACGAGTGTTATATATTTGATGTTAGCCGCCCGAAGCCCAGCTTCGGCCGGGGAGGGCGGGATAGAAATAAAAGTTGATTATTGTGTTATTAAAAAAAAAACAAATAAAATTTTGTGCTGCCATCGGGAGCTGCATCTGTTGGATTTCTCCAGAAAGAAGCTGCAGTTCCCAGTGCTGGAGAGCAGTTCTAGCAGGGGAGGGTGGGGTATAAATAAAAATATTGTTGTTGTTGTTGTTTTGTTGTTGTTGTTGTTTTGTTGTTGTTGTTGTTTTGTTGTTGTTGTTGTTGTTGTTATTTAATATTCTGCACCGAAAGCCTCAGAGCCCTGTCAAGTGAGCCTTGCTCCTGTTCACTCTCTTTTTAATCCCATTTCCTCGTAGCCAAAAAGAGCATCCGCCGCCCCCTAAAGTGGATTGCCGAAGCCTACCACGCCGGCATGTCTGCTGCTGAGCGCCGCCGAGTGCAGAACAATTTCATGTCCGGCCAGCTGCGGGTGGTGGTGGCCACGGTGGCCTTTGGCATGGGGCTGGACAAGTCTGACGTGCGGGGCGTGGTGCACTACAACATGCCCAAGAACTTTGAGAGCTACGTGCAGGAGATTGGGAGGGCGGGCAGAGATGGCAAACCAGCCCAATGCCACCTCTTCCTGCACCCAGAGGTAAGGCCTGCTGGACTCTGCTCGGGTTATGTGATGGGTTTGTTGAGCCCTTCGCAATAAATCCCTCTGCTCAATCAGAGATATACCGTACTTTTCGCTCCATAAGATGCACTTTTTTCCTCCTAAAAAGTAAGGGGAAATATCTGTGCGTCTTCTGGAGCGAATGTGGGGTCCCTGGAGCCAAATTCACCATCAGATCACATAGCATGTCCATGGCTACAGCCTGCACCAAAAAAATCACGCATCCACTGTTTCGTGGGGCCGCAATGGCGCAAAAACGTGGTTACAAAGCACAGATCCACATGGATCCCCAGGATTTTTGCATTGGGTCACCCCAAATTCACCGTCAAATCACATATCATGTCTGTGGCCACAGCATGAACCACAAAAATCATACCTCCACTGTTTCATTCAGAATATTTGTTTTCTTCTTTTCCTCCTCTAAGAACTAGGTGCGTCTTGTGGTCAGGTGCATCTTATGGAGCGAAAAATACTTTACAGAAATTATTGTACATTATTTACAAGGTACAAAGCATCGCTTCAAGCATCCGAATCATCCGTAGCAGATCCCGGGAGTGGGAACTTCTTGCTCCTCCTCCAGCAAATCAGTTTGGGCAATCCCAAACGCCTCCGTTGTTCCCGGCCTTTTAACCCCCTCCTGTCCTGAGCTGATGGAACAGGTCTTCCCTCTCCCTCCGTGCCTGAGCTGGTAGAGAGGTGCAGATGCTCGCTAACATCGGGGAGCTGTCGCTCTGCCTGAGTGGCTTCCCCTTGCTCTCCACCCTCTTCCGGTGCTGCCTCTTCTACCAGCCCGTCTCTCTCCCCCCCTTCCAACTCCAGAGCCTTCCCTGCCAGCTCCGTGACAGGTTGGTCCTTGTGGGAGTGCCTGCCTGGTGGCAGCAGCTCCTGCAGTCTGTCTCCTTTCCCCCTGCTCCCACAAAGTCACATGGCTGGCCTTCTCTCTCCCTAGGGCGAGGATTTGCACGAGCTGAGACGGCACATCTACGCTGACACCGTTGACTTCTTCACTGTGAAGAGGCTCGTACGGAAGGTTTTCCCTTCCTGCAAGTGCCGGGAGCTGCATGAGAAACAGCAGGAGCTCAGCAAGGTCAGGAGAGAGAGTGGAGAGGAGGGCAGAGATCTCCTGGGGTGGCGTTGCTCTTCCTGATAGCCTGCAGGGACAAAAGTGGTGGCAGCCGCCGCTGCTTCTTCATTCTTCTATCTATTGCCCACTCTTTGAATGTTTTCAATCCCAGAGCAGGGCACAAAGCAATAAAAGTAAGTAGTGGAAAACAATATACAAAAACTACAAACTCATATAAAGAGGATCAATAAACAACTCAGTTCTGTCATAGGGTAAACAAGCAAAATTGCAACACCAGAAGTTAACACTTCCTCTTTAATGAAGTGCAGGCCTCAAGGCCAGGTAAAGGTAAAGGGATCCCTGACCATTAGGTCCATTCGCAGATGACTCTGGGGTTGCGGCGCTCATCTCGCTTTACAAGCCGAGGGAGCCGGCGTTCAGCTTCCAGGTCATGTGGCCAGCAGGACTAAGCCGCTTCAGCGAAGCGGCAGGAGAAACGGAGCACTGAAGAGGCGCTGCACAAAGAGGAAAAGCTGTACAGCGCCTCTCCGGCGAAGCCTCTTCAGGGTAGGGGGAGCGTTCCTCCTGTTGCCCTGAAGAGGCTTCGCACAGCTATCCCAGAATTCAGAACAGCAAGAGGGATCACTGTGCAGTGAAAGCAGCGATCCCTCTTTCTGTTCTGGCTTTGTTTCCCTGCTGCCTGCCGGCCGTTGGTCTCTCCTGTGTGCAGTAAAGCCACTTTTTACATATAGGGCGGTGAAGTGGGCGATGCAGAGATGTTGGCTGCCTTGGAAGGGAGCGGCGAGGAGCAGCCTGATCCAGGCGATGGCCGTCCTCGGATCTGTTACAAGCACGAGCGAGCTATCCCCATTCAGCAAACTGTGGAGGCCCTGGACTTCCGAGAGGAAGGTGAGGAGGCCAGACTGGTGGTTAACTTCCTGCTCCCAAAGGAGGACGAGGACAGGGCCAGCCCCTGCCCCACAACTGCTGAGCCACCCCTTGCCCTGTGTCTTTGCTGGTGGCTGCCCAGCTTCCTTTCTCTTGCTGGTCATGAGCCTTTGGCACACTCATGCACAAAGATGTTCTTAGCCAAGTGGGGAACTTGAACCATGTTCTCTCCCAGGTCCTTGTCATTTAATCCCCACAACAGCAACCACCCTGGGAGGTAGGTTAGAATCATAGAGTTGGAATAGACCACAAGGGCCATCGAGTCCAACCCCCTGCCAAGCAGGAAACACCATCAGAGCACTCCTGACATATGGTTGTCAAGCCTCTGCTTAAAGACCTCCAAAGAAGGAGACTCCACCACACTCCTTGGCAGCAAATTCCACTGTCGAACAGCTCTTACTGTCAGGAAGTTCTTCCTAATGTTTAGGTGGAATCTTCTTTCTTGTAGTTTGGATCCATTGCTCCGTGTCCGCTTCTCTGGAGCAGCAGAAAACAACCTTTCTCCCTCCTCTATGTGGCATCCTTTTATATATTTGAACATGGCTATCATATCACCCCTTAACCTCCTCTTCTCCAGGCTAAACATGCCCAGCTCCCTTAGCCGTTCCTCATAAGGCATCGTTTCCAGGCCTTTGACCATTTTGGTTGCCCTCCTCTGGACACGTTCCAGTTTGTCAGTGTCCTTCTTGAACTGTGGTGCCCAGAACTGGACACAGTACTCCAGGTGAGGTCTGACCAGAGCAGAATACAGTGGCACTATTACTTCCCTTGATCTAGATGCTATACTCCGATTGATGCAGCCCAGAATTGCATTGGCTTTTTTAGCTGCCGCATCACACTGTTGGCTCATATCAAGTTTGTGGTCAACCAAGACTCCTAGATCCTTTTCACATGTACTGCTCTCAAGCCAGGTGTCCCCCATCTTGTATTTGTGCCTCTCGTTTTTTTGCCCAAGTGCAATACTTTACATTTCTCCCTGTTAAAGTTCATCTTGTTTGTTTTGGCCCAGTTCTCTAATCTGTCAAGGTCGTTTTGAAGTGTGATCCTGTCCTCTGGGGTGTTAGCCACCCCTCCCAGTTTGGTGTCATCTGCAAATTTGATCAGGATGCCCTTGAGTCCATCATCCAAGTCGTTGATGAAGATGTTGAATAAGACCGGGCCCAAGACAGAACCCTGTGGCACCCCACTAGTCACTCTTCTCCAGGATGAAGAGGAACCATTGATGAGCACCCTTTGGGTTCGGTCAGTCAGCCAGTTACAAATCCACTGAGTGGTAGCATAGTCAAGACCGCATTTTACCAGCTTCTTTACAAGAATATCATGGGGCACCTTGTCAAATGCCTTGCTGAAATCAAGGTAGGCTACATCCACTGCGTTCCCTTCATCTACCAGGCTTGTAATTCTGTCAAAAAACGAGATCAGGTTAGTCTGACAACGAGATCAGGTTAGTCACCCAGGTTAGGGTGAGGCGCAATGACTGGCCCAAGGCCACCACCCAGTCAGCTTCATGACAGAGGGGGATTTGAACCCTGGGCTCTCCCAGGTGCTCTAACCACTGCACAACACTGCCTTTATTTAGGCCACACAGGTTAATTGGGGCTTGGAAGGAGCGGGATGGAGTCCCTGGGTCTTCCCTTTTCCTTGGGCCCCCAGAGGCCCCCTTGCCCAGGTGGAGCTCCTCTCAAAGTTGGCCCACGATCCCTCTGCCTCATCGTAAAATTGGGGGGGGGGTGGAGATGTGCCAGTGGCGCTCTCTGCTGGACTGTGTTTTTTATGTCAAGCTTAAATGAACACCGGCTCTGATTCCTTTGCAGACAGAAGGCATAAAAAATGGGGTTTTGTTTGGAGTGAAATAGCTCAGTCAGCAGAGCATGATACCCTTAATCTTGGGGTCGAGGTTTCAAGTCTGATGTTGGGCCAAACATTCCCTGAGTATTGGAGGGGGTTGGACCAGATGACGCTTGGAATCGTTTCTCTGATTCCATGAAAGGCTTTCCACCAGAGATGGATGCACAGCAGCAGCAGCAGCAGCAGATGCCCCCTCCAGCTTGAGAGCTTTCTTCTTTCTCCGTTCAGGTATAGAGACGCTTCTGTGCTACCTGGAATTGCACCCCCACCAGTGGGTGGAGCTCCTGCACCCCACCTTCTCTTCCTGCCGGGTGGTCTGCTATGGTGGCCCCCAGCAGCTGCGGACAGTGGCTCAAAGGTACGGAGGGGAAGGTGGTTTCTGGTCGGGGACAGAGGGTGGCGCTTGGGGGGGGGGAGCTGTCATCGCACCACTCCTTGGTGTGTTGAGTGCCGCAGGGTGCGATAATCTCCCCGATGCTTTTCAACATCTTTATGCGCCCCCTCGCCCAGCTTGTCCGAAGTTTTGGGTTGGGCTGCCATCAGTATGCTGATGACACCCAACTCTATCTGTTGATGGATGGCCATCCTGACTCGGCCCCAGACACACTGATCAGGTGTTTGGAAGCTGTGGCTGGATGGCTACGTGGGAGTTAAATCCTTGAAGTTAAATCCTTTGGCTGGGTCGGGACGATATGGGATTGGGGGGGCAACTCCCATCTCTTGCAGGGGCGCAATTAGTGCCAGCACCGTCCGTTAAGAGTTTGGGTGTAATCTTCGACACCTCCCTTTCCATGGAGGCGCAGATTGCAGCTATAACAAAGGCGGATTTTTTTCATCTCCGCCAAGCTAAGCAGTTGGCTCCTTACCTCTCTCGCCCTGTGATCCACGTGACGGTCACCTCCAGACTGGATTATTGTAACTTTCTCTACGTGGGGCTGCCCATGAGACTGACCCAGAAACTCCAGCGGGTGCAGAATGCCGCGGCGAGACTGTTTACGGGGTCTTCGCTGCGAGATCACATTCACCCAGTGCTATACCAGCTGCACTGGCTCCCAGTGGAGTACAGGGTCAGGTTTAAGGTGCTGGTTTTAACCTTTAAAGCCCTATACAGCCTAGGACCCTCGTACCTACGGGACTGCCTCTCCTGGTATGTCCCACAGAGGACCTTACGGTCTTCAAACAAAAACATCTTGGAGGTCCCAGGCCACAGAGAAGTTAGGCTGGCCTCAACTAGAGCCAGGGCTTTTTCGGCTGTGGCTCCGATCTGGTGGAACGCTCTGTCACAAGAGACCAGGGCCCTGCGGGACTTGACATCTTTCCGCAGGGCCTGCAAGACGGAGCTGTTCCACCAGGCCTTTCACCAAGGCACAGCCTGACCCCCCTCCTTTGGTAATTCTTCACAGAACTCTAGCCCAATGGTTGCCATCAATTTGATTTGAACTGATTTTATAATGAATTGATTTTAGAATGCTGTATTATTTTACTGTTGTTAGCCGCTCTGAGCCCGGCTTCAGCTGGGGAGGGCGGGATATAAATAAAATGTTGTTGTTGTTATCATCATCATCATCATCATCATCATCATCACTCTGAGCAGGGATCTGGGGGAAACTGAGCACTGGGAAAAGATGGCACGTGGATAAGCGTCTAAGGGACCCAGAAAGAACCCAAGGGAAGAGTCTGGATTATTGGGGGGGGTGGAACCTGTTCTGACCAGGGTCGCATAACACCCTCAGCCTTAAAGCAAACCTGAGGATTTTGTTGCCTGGTTAAAGGAGTCAAGCAAAGCACATTTTCATGAAGCTGATTCATTCTCACACTTGTAACAATACAATAAATTGTAGGTTTTGTCATTGTGCGCCCACACGTCTGGTTTCGCTGTTCTAATTGCTTGTTGCTGTATAGCTGTTTTGGCACAGGCTGTTTCGAGTATCGTTCCTGATGGGAAAACAGGATGCAAATCGAAATAATAATAGTTATAACAATTGCGTCCGCCCCCTGCTAGGCCAGACAAGGGAACATAAAGATCTTTGCAGCCCCCTGGCAGTTTGGCACAGCTGTCCTCCAACCCATTTCTGAGGTGTCCCCAGATGTGACACAGATTGCTGCAGTGACAGCTCAGCTGGAAAACATGAGGGCTAGAAGCCTCCTTTTGAAAAATGCTGCGTTCTGTGCCAGATGCCCGTTTTCATGCTCGCAGCTTGGCATGATCAGGGAGAGTACACACAGAGCCCTAATTGTATTTGGGGAGCAGGGTATTCCTTGCGGTCTTGCATCAATTTCGCTGGATGAACTGAGGCTGCCCCCTTGATGATTATGATAATTTATTAGGGGTGGATTTGAACTCTGCACTCTCCCAATCATTCCATCTGTGCTTGAATCCAAGCTTGCCAGCTGAAAGTGGTGCATGCTCTAGTTATCTCCTGCTTGGACTACTGCAATGTGCCCTACATGGAGCTACCTTTGAAGGTGACTCGGAAACTGCAATTAATCCAGAATGCGGCAGCTAGACTGGTGACTGGGAGTGGCCGCCGAGACCATATAACACCAGTCCGGAAAGATCTTCATTGGCTCCCAGTACGTTTCCGAGCACAATTCAAAGGGTTGGTGCTGACCTTTAAAGCCCTAAATGGCCTCGGTCCAGTATATCTGAAAGAGCGTCTCCACCCCCATCGTTCTGGCAGGACACTGAGGTCCAGCGCCAAGGGCCTTCTGGTGGTTCCCTCCCTGCGAGAAGTGAGGTTACAGGGAACCAGGCAGAGGGCCTTCTCAGTAGTGGTGCCCGCTCTGCGGAATGCTCTTCCAGCAGATGTCAATAAACAACTATTTTACTTTTAAAAGACAACTGAAAGGTGGCCCTATTTAGGGAACTTTTTAATGTCTGGAGCTGTGTTGTTTTTAATATTCCGTTGGATGACGCCTAGAGTGGTTGGGGAAACCCATCCAGATGGGCGGGGTATAAATAAATTATTATTATTATTATTATTATTATTATTATTATTATTATTATTATTATTAAAATAGACCCTCTTCTGCTCCCCTACGGACTTCTCAAGTGCTGACTTCTCTTCCTCCCCTTTCCCCCAGGTGCCCTCCTCTCGCCGTCTGTCTGGCCCAGCAGCGCCTGAAAGGGGTGGACCTTGCTCATGCCAGCTCTGTGGAGTTTGACGTCATTGAGCTAGCCGACTCCATGGGATGGGAGGTCTTGCCAGTGAAACGAGCTCTCCGTCAGCTGCAGTGGACCACTCAGAACGGTAACCAGTCAGTGGGAAGCCTATCTAAGGTGGGCTGGGATGGGAACAGCTGTCCCAGAGAGCAGGCCTTCTGCCTAAGCCCCCAGCCAGTCTTGGTTTAGGAAAGAAGCAGAGAAGCCACATCTTGTCGACCATTGATCCCTTGTTTAATCTCGGCTGGAAGGTTGGGGATCGGGGTGTGTGTGTGTGCTGTTCTTTAGAGGGGAAAGGCCTTCTGAGTGACAAGGATGGAGGAACTTGTGATTCCAAGGCAATCCCCACCCTCTTAATATCTGACCCAACAGGCCCACACTGGGAGAAAACTCCCTTTGGGGGCTTAAGGTGGAGGCTCGCACCAAATTCCCAGTTAGTCAGACTATTCCACAATGCCTTGCCAGACATAGTCCAAAAGAATGGGAGAGCGTATCCATTAACACACACCCTAGAGAGGAAATGTGTGTCATTTGGGCTGTTTATTTCCTAGCCAACCACCTGCCACCCCTGTTGCTCCACCATCTCTTCACCTAACCTTGATCCTTGAAAATGCTTCCATAACCCAATTATTTTTACTATACATGCAGAGCCCTCCTTAACTGGAGTTGTTTTTCACTCTACCATTCAGCCATTAAAGGTAAAGGGACCCCTGACCATTAGGTCCCGTTGTGGCCGACTCTGGGGTTGCGGCGCTCATCTCGCTTTATTGGCCGAGGGAGCCGGCGTACAACTTCTGGCTCATGTGGCCAGCATGACTAAGCCGCTTCTGGCAAACCAGAGCAGCGCATGGAAACGGTGTTTACCTTCCCGCCGGATCGATACCTATTTATCTACTTGCACTTTGACATGCTTTCGAACTGCTAGGTTGGCAGGAGCTGGGACTGAGCAGCGGGAGCTCACCCCGTCATGAGGATTCAAACTGCCGTCCTTCTGATCGGCAAGTCCTAGGCTCTGTGGTTTTACCCACAGCGCCAACTGTGTCCCTATTCAGCCATTCGTTTCCTCCTAAGCTGGTTCCTGCTGATTTTGTGGCCAGGCTACCCTCTGGCGTACATGGCACCAGCCTCCCTGATAGTGGGTATTGCATGATTTCTACTTAACCTTCCAGTGAAATTGAACGCTGGAAGATTCAGAACTCGGACACAAGAAATGGCTTCTTCACCCATTGCATGACTGCAGGCTAGCGCTGGCCACCAATTTCAATGGTTTTAAAAGAGGGTAGACAGGCTCAGGAGGGCTACTAGCCTCAACAGCTGTGTTCTACTTTTAGTATCGTAAGTACTAGCCTCTGGGTGCTGGGAATTGCAAGTGGGGAGAGTGCTATTGCCGTACTCATGCCCTGTTTGTGGCCTCCGCCAAGGGGCACATCATTGGTCACTGTAAGACCTGGATGCTGGACCAAGTGGCCTGATTCCGCTGCAGGCCTCTTCTTAATTCTTCCCTTCCCTTGTGGCACAGGCTCCCATGTGTCTAGGAAGAGCGGGATCCTCGTGGAATTTGGTCAATTTGCTTTCCACCTGCGCTCCTACGGCGATCTCACCGACGAGGAGCTGGACTCGGTCTGTGACTTCCTGCACCAGCGAGTGACGGGCCGCGAAAAAGCTGCCCTTTCCCAGCTGCAGGCCTGCTTCCAGGCCTTTCAGAGGTGGGTAGGCACAAACTGGCACCACTTTAAAAGGTGGGCTCTGCTGCGTGTGAGAAGCTGGGCAAAAGAACAATGTGTTCAGTCTGGTGGCAGGAGAGAGGAGAAAGAGCTCCTGGGAGGGAGGGAGAACCACCTTGCATTTAATGGACACAACAGGTTCTTGTCATGGACTGGCTAGATGCTGAGAAGGTGGGAGGCACCAGTTGGGAAGCCTCCTTCCAAAGGGATAGTAAAGTGTTAACTCATTATTATTATTATTATTATTATTATTATTATTATTATTATTATTAATTATTTATACCCCACCCATCTGGCTGGGTCTCCCCAGCCACACTGGGCGGCTTCCAACAAAGTATTAAAATACAATAGTCTATTAAACATTAGAAGCTTCCCTAAACAGGGCTGCCTTCAGATGTCTTCTAAAAGTCTGGTAGTTGTTCTTCTCTTTTACATCTGGTAGGAGGGCGTTCCACAGGGCGGGCGCCACCACCAAGAAGGCCCTCTGCCTGGTTCCCTGTAACTTGGCTTCTCGCAGGGAGGGAACCGCCAGAAGGCCCTTGGAGCTGGACCTCAGTGTCCGAGCTGAACGATGGGGGTGGAGACGCTCCTTCAGATTCCCTTTACAGCTAAGAAAGATTTGCAAAAAGAAAAGTATTCTCTCTCCCTTGTCTTTTTGAGCAGTGTGGCTTTCCGCGCCTGTGCCTCGTGCTGTGACCACGGGGGCGAGGAGAAGAGTGCCCAGCTGAAGTCTCTGCTGCTGGATTATTTTGAGAAGGATACAGATGAAGCGGATCCTGCACTCCCAAGTGAAGAGCAGGACACTGAGGATCTCCAAGACATTAAAGTGAGAGAAGCTGCTCTTTTTGCCTCCTCTTAATGGCACTGAAGCATAGAATGATACAGGCATCTCTTTTGGGCTTCTCCAGATTGTGGCCACAGTCAGGCACCGTGTGTGGCAATGTGCCACTGTCTCCTGTCCCCTAATCCTGCACTGCTCCTGGGACTTCATGGTCCTCATCTGTTTCATAATGCTATATATGGGTCTGAGTAGGCTATCTAAAGATCTCCTGAGATAACGATGGGTGGGTAGGTGAACCTCTGGCAGATTTGTTCATATTAACTGTGTGCTCTCCACTGATTTGTGGTTAGGGACTTGCTCTGCAGATGGGGAGGGTTCTAATCCTGCTACTCTTATTTTTCAAAGGAGAGGGTCATAACTCAGTGGCAGATTACCTCCTATGCAGGCAGAAATCTCCCGTTTTAAAAAGGGCTCAGGCCGCAAGGGACTGGAAAGACCTTGAGTTGCTGCCAGAAGGAAGTTCTGGGCTAGATAATCAGTAGATTTACGCTGCCCACTTTTCTACCTGTGCAAAGAAGTGAGTTCTCTTCTCACTTTTAAACCAGAGGTGGGAAAGAGTCCTTTCTGGAGACACTTCCAACTGTCAAGTACACAACGCTGAGCAAAGATGAGTCCAGTGTTTTGACTTGGCACAAAGCAGCTCAACATGTCCAAATCGGTAACTAAACTCCCAGTATCCTTTGCTTCCCAATTTCAGCTTCGGGACTGGGAAGAGCAAATACGAGCTGACGTCCGCAGCTTCCTGTCTCTCCGCCAAGACGAGAGTTCACTGGCAGGGCTGTGGCCAGGATCTTCCACGGCATAGGTGAGGATGTAATTCTCCAGCCGTTCCGTGGTCTGCTCTGCTTCTTGCATCAGCACAGAGCCAGGCACCACACAGGCAATAGGCTGAGATCCTCCAAAACCTCCAGAGGGCATTTCTGCTCAATCACAATCTGATCTCTTAAGGGCAAAGGCAATTGAGCATCACATTTGCCACAGTGCTGTAGAACAGCCTCTTCCAACCTGGTGCCTTGCAGATGTTTTGGACTACAACTCCCTGGACGTGGCTGATGTTTGTTGTAGTCTAAAAACACCTGGAGGCTACTACTTTAGCAAAGGCTGCTGCATAGTGAACAAAACTGGTAATTGTTGTAAACAAAATCTCTGCCCTTTTTCCCTTATGGGGTATCTAAGAGCCTATATAGAGCCCTTATGTAGGTTCCCTATTGGTAGGAGAAAATAAGAGAGGCCAACCAGAGAATATTAAGAGGCAAAGCAGCTAGTAAACTTGATATTTATTGATCTGTTGCAACAGGGTACTCCCCTCACTCGCAGGAAAGGAGGAGGAAACCAGAACAATGGCGCGCAAGGCCTTATATAAACATTTTGAAATTGCCACACTGTAGATCAAGACCACCCCCAGAAACATCATACATACATCACAGAAGGGGGGGGTGTAGCTTAAGACCACCACCCCAGATACATCATACCTACATCACAGAAAAGGCAGTCTAAAACAGAAATTTGAATGTTGTTTGTCTTCCTGTTTACTTGATTGGATACCCTGCTTATTTGATTGGATACCCTGGGGAGCCTGGCCAGTCTTTTGTAATGATAAATACGTAGTAATGGTAAATACTTAGTTCCTGAGTCAGGTCACAGGCTCACCCTATTCAAACACAGACATACCTTTAAGACAGGATTTGTGAAGGAAAAGACAATGGGGAGGCTTTCCAATTTTCCATCCAGAGAAAACATTTGGTCAGTTTGGGAATCAAAAATGGTTCCAGGTCGGTCTTCCTGTGCTGATCTATGTACGTGCTTGGTTGGTACACTTATGAACATATATCTAAGACCTCAAAATTCCTATCACATAATCCTTAGCTCTATGTCAACAATGTAGGCCTAGCAGGAGGCTCTGTTGGGCCCTCTAATGGCTGGCATTGCTCTTTGAGAAATGACCAAGCGCTTGCAATTCTTTTGGTGGCTGATTGAGTTTTCTCCGTTTGGACAGGAAGCCCACGCTACCCAGCCCAGGTTTATGGCAGAGACCGGCGTTTCTGGAGGAAGTACATACATTTTGATTTCAACAAGATTATACGCATGGCCACGGAAGAGATCATCCGTTGGAACTGAATTGAGTCTGCACTGTCATCTCCAGGGATGAAACCCCAGAGCACAGCTCCACGGTTCCCTTAAGCCTGTGTGCAGGTTGCTCTAATTGCAAGAAGCAACTGACCAGCCAGCATCCCAGGAGCCAAAACAGCACCTCCTGCTCCCCTTGCGGTTTTGCAGAACTTCTCTGCAAGGCAGGTGGAAAGCTGGGCACCTGAATGGACTTCTCTGTTGCCCTGAAATAAGCAAAGGTTTTGGGGGAAATGGCTTGTTTTCATCTCCAAGCCTTTCCTATTTTTGTATGTAAAGCTTCCTTTTTATTTTTTGATTTTTTACAAAATTGTCCTGATTTTTAAATATATTTTTAATGTAAGGGAGAGTGTTAAGTCTTCTTCTAACCTCTAGGAATTTTTATTATTTTTATTTATTATCTGGACTTCTACATACTTTGCAAATCTTGAAGTGTGTTAATGGATGCCTTCCCTCCTTCCTCCAGGGTGCCAGCATTGGAGGGAGGGAGGGAGGTTGATTTAATAAATAATGATAATAAAATATGTATAAAAGGAGGACCCATGATTAAGGGTAGAACATGCACATACAATTGGGAGACATACAGGAGGGACTAGCGTCAGCAAGAATAATCTTGAAAAACTAATGGGCAGATCCTCTTCCATAAAAGAAGTGTGAGGATTTGCTTTTATATGGCATTTAGAAATATAATGCTTTAAATGTTTGGCTGCTGCCCACCTCTTCACCTGCAATAAACCTATTTCATTGTATGCAGGGGCCTTTAACATATTTTTAAATAAGTGAGGAATGCTTGCATTGTTAAAAATAGATCGTGAACGGACAGTCTTAATTTAGCACTGATTTTTCTCTCAATTCCCCCACATCCTTTTTGTACATTTGCCTTAATAAATATACAAAGAAGTTTATATGCAGCCTTCCCATCTATTTGAGCAGGAACTAAACAGGTGAGGTATTTAATAGTAGTAGGTTTGATCTTCTTGCAGTCCATGGGACTCTCAAGAGTCTCCTCCAGCACCAGAATTCAAAAGCATCCATTCTTCGGCGGTCAGCCTTCTTGATGGTCCAGCTCTCACTTCCATACATCACTACTGGGAAAACCATGGCTTTAACTATACGGACCTTTGTTGGCAAGGTGACATCTCTACTTCTCAAGATGCTGTCTAGGCCTGTCATTGCCCTTCTCCCAAGAAGCAGGCGTCTTTTAATTTCGTGGCTGCTGTCACCATCTGCAGTGATCATGGAGCCCAAGAAAGTAAAATCTCCCACTCCCTCCATTTCTTCCCCTTCTATTTGCCAGGAGGTGATGGGACCAGTGGCCATGATCTTCGTTTTTTTGATGTTGAGCTTCAGACCATATTTTGCGCTCTCCTCTTTCACCCTCAATAAAAGGTTCTTTAATTCCTCCTCACTTTCTGCCATCAAGGTTGTGTCATCTGCATATCTGAGGTTGTTGATATTTCTTACAGCAATCTTAATTCCGGCTAGGGATTCATCCAGCCCAGCCTTTCGCATGATGAATTCTGCATATAAGTTAAATAAGCAGGGAGACAATGTACAACCTTGTCGTACTCCTTTCCCAATTTTGAACCAATCAGTTGTTCCATATCCAGTTCTAACTGTGGCTTCTTGTCCCACATAGAGATTTCTCAGGAGACAGATGAGGTGATCAGGCACTCCCATTTCATTAAGAACTTGCCATAGTTTGCTGTGGTCGACACAGTCAAAGGCTTTCGCATAGTCAATGAAGCAGAAGTAGATGTCTTTCTGGAACTCTCTAGCTTTCTCCATAATCCAGCGCATGTTTGCAATTTGGTCTCTGGTTCCTCTGCCCCTTCGAAATCCAGCTTGCACTTCTGGGAGTTCTCGGTCCACATACTGCTTGAGCCTTCCTTGTAGAATTTTAAGCATAACCTTGCTAGCGTGTGAAATGAGTGCAATTGTGCGGTAGTTGGAGCATTCTTTGGCACTGCCCTTCTTTGGGATTGGGAAGTAGACTGATCTTCTCCAATCCTCTGGCCACCGCTGAGTTTTCCAAACTTGCTGGCATATTGAGTGTAGCACCTTAACAGCATCATCTTAGTGTCCTTTATTGGCAGCGCTGGATGCAGCTTGTCAAGTGCTGAAACGGGATGATGACCTCTTACTGTTTTCTACCTCTATGGTCCCCTGAGCCAAAGGGGACACAGTTTCAATGAAGTTTTCTACCTCTATGGTCCCCTGAGCCAAAGGGGACACAGTTTCAATGAACACTACCGGTACTCGGTCGAACTCTGCCTCTTCAAAGCAAAGTGAGCCTCCGCCGTTGTCGGCATATGTCTGTCTCGAGAGACAACGGAGGGGTGCGCCTTTGGGGGTTGAATCCTGCATCGCTAGAGAGGTAAAAAGGACAGAGCGGCGCCACTCCACGCTTGTGCCAAAGCCCGCTTTCGATCGACAACCGGAAGTCTCGGCCTTTGCAGTGAGACTGTGCCCTTTGGGGGGAAATGGCGTCGCGGCGGCTGCCAAATGAAGTCAACCGAGAGGCGCCGCCTAGAAGGGCCGCGAAGCCTCTCCGACGGAGCGCCGTTTCCGGTCTGAAAGGGAGGCTTCCCTCGTTTCCCTCTCCTTGACCGGAAGTGTACCTGCGCTCATGGTCTGGGCCTGGTTCCGTTTCTCTGAGGGCGGCGGCGGCGTTTCCGCTCTCGCTGTTGGCCGCGGAAACGGGAGAAGCGGAGCGTCTGGACTTTTATGTGGGTCCCGCGAGCGGCGGGGAAGGAGAGGGAGGGGGGCGGAAAGGGGCGGCGCAGCGGCGCCCTCTAGCGGCTGAAGCGCGGAAGGGCCGGTGGGGAGGGGGTTGCCATGGCAACGGAGGGGAAGCTGGACCACTCGCCTCGGGGATGCTGCTGATGCTGCCAGGGAGGCTGGCAACCCAGTGATGCTGAGTCCTGCTGGTGCCACAGGGGTTCTTGTGGGGGCTGGGGAAGCTTCGTTTTTGGGAAGTAGGGGGGTGACACAATGTAGGTCTGTGAGCTTCCGTGTACATTTGGCATTTATTCAATTATTCTGAATTCATACCCTGCACGACTGTCAAAACAACAACGCCCCAAAGTGGTTTACGAAAAAAAGGTTAAAATAATGATAATAATTTTTATTCATACCCCGCCCTCCCCAGCCAAGGCTAACAAGCTAACAAGCGATAATAAAAACAAGTTGAATGAATACAACTTAAAAACAAGATTAAAATGCAGCATTAAAATATTGAAACATTAAAATGCAGCCTCATCGCAGGAGGAGAAAGGAAAAAGAAAGAGGGGGAGGGAATCAAATTGGCTCCAAGCCAAAGGCCAGGTGCAACAACCCTGTCTTACAGGCCCTGCGGAAAGAAATCAGATAACAAAACAATAACAAAACCACAACGACGGCATAAAAGATACAAAAAGTCAAAATAAGAAAATTATTCGTTTTTGTTGTTTATTAAATTTGCATACCACAAAGATCGCAGGGCAGTTCACAATGTAAAAATACAAAATGAGAACACATAATAGATTTTTAAAAATGAGACGTAAGAAATAAATATGAATAAATAAGTACACCAGCACTGGACCCCTGCACAAAGAAAAGATGACAGATTGATGATGACAGATAGTTAAGGGAGTCCTTTCGCATGGACTGAAAGGATGTTTAAAAGGAATTGAAGCATAGGGAGCCAACAGGATGCACTTCAGATGATGACAGACTACAGCTTGGAGTCCGACATCATTTGGGGGGCATAATGCTGGCTACCCTTGATGCCCCCCCTCAAAAAAGAGGGGGGTTAAAAAACATACCAGCATTTCTAAGTGTCTTGGTAAGCTTGCTTAAACAATAATGTTTTTAGCAGGCACAGTTCCTAAATACGGCAACCCCAGTTTAAAAAAAAGGGTCCTAAGCGCCTGCCAACCTAGCAGTTCGAAAGCACCTCCGGGTGCAAGTAGATAAATAGGGACCGCTTACTAGCAGGAAGGTAAACAGCGTTTCCGTGTGCGGCTCTGGCTCGCCAGAGCAGCGATGTCACGCAGGCCACGTGACCCGGAAGTGTCTCCGGACAGCGCTGGCCCCCGGCCTCTTGAGTGAGATGGGCGCACAACCCTAGGGTCTGTCAAGACTGGCACGTACGGGCAGGGGTACCTTTACCTTTTTACTTAAGTTGGTGGTCATCGCTATCTTTTGTGGGAACAAATTCCGTAGTTTAGCTGTGCGCTATATGAATAAATGCTTTATTTTGTCTGTCCTGAATCTTTCAGCATTAAGTTTTATTGGAGGTCCACAATTTCTAGTATTTTGAGAAAGGGAAAAAAAACTCTACCCATTTTCTCCATATCATGCATGAATTTATATACCTCCATCCTGTTGTAAAACTCTGATCAGATTCTATTAGCGTACTCTAAGGATTAAATAGGGATGCGGGTGACGCTGTGGGTAAAACCTCAGTGCCTAGGACTTGCCGATTGTATGGTTGGCGGTTCGAATCCCCGCGGCGTGGTGAGCTCCCGTCGTTCGGTCCCAGCTCCTGACCTAGCAGTTCAAAAGCACCCTTAAGTGCAAGTAGATAAATAGGTACTGCTTTATAGCGGGAAGGTAAACGGTGTTTCAGTGTGCTGCGCTGGTGCTGGCTTGCCAGAGCAGTGATGTCACGCTGGCCACGTGACCCGGAAGTGTCTCTGGACAGCGCTGGCCCCCAGCCTCTTAAGTGAGATGGGTGCACAACCCTAGAGTCAGACACGACTGGCCCGTACGGGCAGGGGTACCTTTACCTTTAAGGATTAAATGCTAACTGCTGATAAAATTATATACTTTAAGGACCGAGCACATGTAAAAACTCAATGGTAAAGTGGGTGTTTTGAATACATTGTTGTGTCCAACAGAGAAAGAAGGCAGGAGATGATTAATGGCTTTTATTGAAGATTGGTTACGTTAACCACTAGCAACGTGAAAACCATCAGGTCTATTATGTCCTTCCTGCTTACAGCCCATGGTAAAATAAAATGATTCCAGTACCATATTGTGTCATTTTAAAGCTAAACAAGAATATGTAAAATAAAGACCTCAAATCTTAGTTTATTCATTTAACAAAATTTATATACCAGTCGATTGTAGTAAAGCCTTTAAGTGCGTAACAAGCAATATTAAAATGCAGTGGTATCTCAATTTTCAGCTGTACCATGTTAAAGGGTATGAAATCAATTATATCAGAAGTAAAACAATAATAATAAGACTGAATTACCCTTTGTAATTTATTTTCCACTAATGACAGGAGAGCAGGGTGGGGTAGGGTGTTGGCTTCTGCAGCCAATCAAAAAGCTAAGATACAAGAAGATATCTTACGGGTTTTCTCAAATATTTGTATAAAGTTGTTGTGACTTTATTATGTTTCAGTAAGTTTCATTAGCAACCTGGAGGTTACTGGCCAAAGGCAACTTTCAGGTATTTTTAAATAAAAACAATAAATGTTTTCAAGTCCCGTCTTTCATCTACCGGGGCAATTCCATTCTGTGAAGCCATGCCACAGTACCCAGACTCTTCTCTATTCTGCTTTCTAGAATATTAGATTGACCAGGTATCTACCTGGAAAATCACTGTGTCTCTCTAACAGCACCCATAAGTTGCAAAATATTATGCTGGGCAGAGAAAGCTAAATCCACGCCATCTCATTTTCATCATTTGCGTATAACATGTCTAGCCTCTGAGTTCTTTCCACAACTATCAATGGGCAAACTCCCTTTCCCTCTGGTCCTTGAATACATACACTTCTCCTGGATGCACATGAAGGTACAGATCCCTCAGCCTGTTGAGCTCTGCCCATCTTTGCTTGTTCTCCCTGCAGGTGGATGGCAGTTCCTGAAGGATGAACGCCAAGTATGCTGTCCTTGCAATGCTGTATTTTGTCCAAGGCATCCCGTATGGGCTCCAGTCTGGGCTGCTGCCTATCTACTTCCGCACGCTGGGCCTCTCCTTTACCAAGATCAGCCTGTCTAAGGTGGTTTATTTGCCCTGGATTCTCAAGATGCTCTGGGCACCCCTGGTGGACCATTACTTAACCAAGAGGACGTGGCTGCTGCTCACCCTGTATGGCTTCGTGCTGGCCTGCCTGGCCTGCTCCCTCATGGCCCCCGAGACAAACTTCTTCCTGGTGGCCATCGTCCTCCTTCTCATGAACTTCTGCGCCTCCATCCAGGACGTTGCGGTGGACGCGATTGCCATCCAGCTGCTGACGCAACATGAGATTGGGTACGGCAACACCATCCAGGTCGTGGCCTACAAGCTGGGCTCCGTCTTGGCAGGAGGGGGCCTGCTCACTTTCCTCCATCACCTGGGCTGGCAGACCCTCTTTGTGGGCCTGGCCCTTCTTTATGTTGTGGCCATTGGTGTCACCTGGAATGCTAACCTAAAACTGAAAGTGAGGTTCGATCCTCAATACAGTTGGGTCAGGTTCAGAACCTTAAATCCCTGCCTCATGCTCCAAGAGCTTCTCAAGGTGCCGGACACTCTTTGGACTGTTGGTTTGGTGCTGCTCTATAAGTTGGGTGAGTCCTTCTAAAGACTTGCAGCTGCAGATTATGCTGGTGAGCCAAATGGTTGATCTGTTAGGACATGCACAGTGCGTCTTTGGGAAAGGGGTCCAGGCTACTGGGGATAGAGTAAACATGGGGATATTGTGTGCAGCTCAGCAAAGTTACATGATGTAGACCTTCCAAGTTGATGCCGTTTCAGGTGTGAGAGTTGAGGGTGAGGACACTCTAGTTTTGAATGCACCTCCTCTTAAGCACCTTCAGCTTCTCAGCTCTTCCGGTTTCTCCAGCCTAGTGACTTCCAGATGTTTCGGACTGCAACCCCCGTGCTTTTTTTAAGTAACTGAGTTAGCCTGCATCTTGTGACCCACCCCCAGAGTTACAACAGAGATAGTTTCTCTGGCATTTAGGCCTCTACAGCCTGTGTGTCTGACTCCCTTGTTATACCAGCTCTGCTGGCTACTGGCCTGTTTCCAGGCCCAATTCAAATTGCTGGTTGTGACCTGTAAAGTCACAGAGCTTTCAAAATGCTGTGTCGCAACATGTTAGCATGTTGGCTGCAGTGTGTAGGTGTGTCATCCGAATGCTTCCCATGCTCCTCCTGGGGTTGGAAAAGGGTTTAACCTCCGGTTGGCTAGTAAAACTGAATTACTGTGTCGCGAAATGATGCATGTCTAAAAAGTGTGTCAGCAACATGAAAAGTTTGGAAAGCTCTGCCCTATCTTAGTGTATTTTTGATGTTTGTTGGAAGCCGCCCAGAGTGGCTGGGGAAACCCAGCCAGATGGGCAGGGTACAAATAATAAATTATTATAATTATTCCTATATGGTTCTAGCCCAAGCTATCTGAAAGGCTATACTCACCCACACAGGCAGCAACCATTTTGCATGCGTCCGATTGACGTGTGAACACCAGTACATGGGTCGTTTTGGACCTGGGAGAGGGCAGAATAGGGGCAGAACAGGGAGGGGCATAACAAGGTGGGCAGGCTTATGCTCGCCCCACCGACACACACAGGGGCCAGGAATAGAGTCCCTGCGCAAAGTGGTTGCTGCCTGTGTGGTTGAGAGCCAGTGTGGTGGAGTGGTTAAGAGCGGTAGTCTCGTAATCTGGGGAACCGGGTTCGCGTCTCCGCTCCTCCACATGCAGCTGCTGGGTGACCTTGGGCCACTCACACTTCTTTGAAGTCTCTCAGCCCCACTCACCCCACAGAGTGTTTGTTGTGGGGAGGAAGGGAAAGGAGAATGTTAGCCGCTTTGAGACTCCTTAAAGGGAGTGAAAGGCGGGATATCAAATCCAAACTCTTCTAATAGTAACTGTAATTCCTATTCCTGTTATTTGCAGCAGCTGAGGTTCCCCAGCCCAGGACAGGCTTTGCTGGAAACTGAACCTTGATTCTCCTTGCAGGTGAACAAGGGGCCGTATCCATGTTTCCCCTCTTCCTACTGGACCATTCCTTTTCCCCACAGGAGCTTGGCTTCTGGAATGGGATTGTGGCCATGATCTTCTCCATTGTAGGCTCCTCACTTGGAGGCTATCTGATGTCAAAACAGGGGTAAGCACCATCAGCCTTCAAATGGGGTTTCATGCTATGGATTCTCCATGTGGTTTTTCATCTTACTCTGCCCAACTTTTCACTTCCAGCAGGCACTGTCTTCCTGCCATGCTTTGTCCCATTTATGCAGAATTATGAGGCTGCCGTACACTGAGAAGCGGGGAGAAAAGAGAATTGGGAATGCCTGGTTTGCTCTCAGGAATCCGTATCTTTTGCTGCCTCAAGGGCCAGAAGCGTTTTATAAAAAACAAAAAACTAACTATGGATCCTCAGAGGGCTGAATGGCCATTTGCAAATGCTTTTGAAAACACGCCCATCTGCCACCTATTATCCTTTGACTTCTCCTACACTCAATTAGAAATAGCTAACATTTTCATGGGACGTGGGTGGCGCTGTGGGTTAAACCACAGAGCCTAGGGCTTTCCTATCAGAAGGTCGGCAGATCGAATCCCCGTGACGGGGTGAGCTCCCGTTGCTCGGTCCCTGCTCCTGCCAACCTAGCAGTTCGAAAGCACGTCAAAGTGCAAGTAGATAAATAGGTACGGCTCTGGCGGGAAGGTAAACGCCGTTTCCGTGCGCTGCTCTGGTTCGCCAGAAGCGGCTTAGTCATGCTGGTCAAATGACCCGGAAGCTGTACGCCGGCTCCCTCGGCCAATAAAGAGAGATGAGCGCCGCAACCTCAGAGTCGGCCACGACTGGACCTAATGGTCAGGGGTCCCTTTACACTTTACCTTTAACATTTCCACAGCACATCTTTTGCCCTGCATGCAACACCTACCCCCGGAATGCTGAAGGCTGGATCTTCTCTCCAGGGCAGCCTGACTTCTGCATTTGATTCATAGCCTTTTCACTTCAGCCTCTGCCCTTGCCGCCCTGCAATGAACCTCTTCTTGTGCTGTCCCTGAGTGTTTCTGCCATCCCTGATGACTTTCCTTTGTGGCTTGTTCTCCCCAGGAACCCCTTTTCTATGCTGAAGACCTTGATGGTATTCCGCTTGTTCAGCCTGGTCTTCCAAACACTCCTGCTGGTTGCCTATGAGGACAAAAAACCAGTCTTTGAAGGTGAGCTGAAAGCAGCCCAACACAGCAGCTGTTTCTCCTGCTTCAGTCTCCGTTCGGATCTCATCCAAGAGTCCTAAAGTCACAAATGTGTTTACTGTGGTTTATTTTCCCCACCCTGAATCTGAGTGTTTGCAGAATTTGAGGGACTTCAATGAGGACGACCTTTTATACTGGCAGTGCAGAGGGAACGCTCTTAGATGCAGCCTCTCTCCCCATCCTTCCACACAAATATTCATAGTGCATGAGGATAAGAAATGGTGCATTATTGGACTGTGGCTGAAGGCCACACAGAACAGGGGTGAGAGCTCAAAAGCTTCCCTCTGCTAAGGATTTATGGGGCCGCCTTTCCTGGTCTGCTCTGCATAGGATCTTAAGGTCCATGAATAACCATAGTTTAGAGGTCCCGGGCCCTAAGGAACCCAGACTATCCTCCACCAGGGCCAGGGCCTTCTCAGTGATGGCTCCGACCCGATGGAATGCTCTGTCCCATGAGACCAGGGCCCTGCAGGATTTAACCCCCTTCCTTCAGGCCTGTAAGACAGAGCTTATCTGCCTGGCCTTTAATTTGAATTCAGCCTGATCTTCTATTTCCCTTCCCTCCTCCTCCCCTTTTATGAAGATCACCCGCTCTGAGACCCCACAGCTAATTCTCCCCTGGCCTCCTCGCTGGCCCAAGTAGGACTAATTCAGCCAGCTAGCCCTGGCGATTATCTAATGCTTATTAAATGGATTTCCCCTAAATTGATTTCTGAACTTTGAATTTTATTGTTATTCATGTTTTTATACTGTATTTTATGCTGCTTTTACAATTAAGTGTTTTAAAGCGGGAAGGGTGGGGTATAAATAAAAATTTATATATATTTATATATATATATATATATATATTTACACACACACACACACATATATATATATATATATGGAGTCATTTGCAGACCTTGCCTGCAAATTTGCACATGCACACTTGCAACCAGGAAGGCCAAAATTTTGCTAAGCAATGGAAACTCTTGAGTTCCTCAAGAGTTCAGGCCCAGCAACAGGTAAAGAGACTGTAGCTCTTGAATCCTTAACCCACACCTCCTTTGGGTTTTTGGAAGCCAACCAGACACTTTTCCCTGTTTGCTGCTTCTAGACTAACAGATCTCTCCCTCCCTCCCTCCCTCCCTCCCTCCCTCCCTCCCTCTCTCTCTTTCTCTCCCTCTGTGTCCAGTGGCAGCTGTGCTGAGCATCTTCCTACAGCACTTCATCGCTGGCCTGGTAACCACCTTAACGTTCAGCATAATGATGCAATGTGCACAAAAGGCCCAGGAGAACATACAGGTACAACTCTTGCCTCTACGTTCGGCTCCCCGCTCCACTGCCCAAAGAACATGTGTTGGTTTGCTTTGGTTCTTTAAAAAGCCAGTTCACTTAATATAAACTAGTAACATCTTAACTAGAGATGGGAAGGCCTTGAAAAAACCCTGGAAAAATGGGGGGGCCGGCTTTTTTCCGTTTCCCCCCCAGAAAAATGAGGTGGGGGGGGGAGTGTGTGGAATATTCAAACTATATCAAAGTTGTTTTCAATTTTTCTGGAAAAAAACGGCTTTGGAAATTTCCCCCCGGTATTTTTCTAGGCCTTTCCATCTCTAGTCTTAAACCACCTTCTAATTTATTGAGGTTTCTGGTTATTTGTACCCCTAGGTATCTGAACTTGGTGTGGCAAAGTTTTATCTTGGTGACATTAGTATGTTCTTTTTGGGTGTGGGGCGGGGTGTTGAAGCGCATAGCTTCTGACTTTGCAAAATTTACTTGTAGCCCCGACACCATTGCAGATGTGTTGAGTTCTCTGATTAAGGAGGTGGCTGTGTTTATGGGGTCTGGTGCTGTGACCATTAGGTCATCTGCAAAGAGCAATAATTTGTAAGTTCTGCCTTTTATTTCCACTCCCTTGATGTCTGTGGCCGCTCGGATTCGGATTGCTAAGGGTTCCAGAGCCAGGATAAATAAGATAATTTTTTTCCCCTTTAACGTTGTGCTTTAATGCTGTAACCTGCCCTGGGACCGTAGGGTGAAGGGTGGGGAACAAATGAATAAACAAATAACATTTGCTCCTCCCTCGCTATGCCTTCAAGAAGGGTGTGTGGAAATGAGCCTTTAGGCCATGCAAAAGCAAACCCGGCCCTCCAGATGTTTTGAGACTACAATTCCCATCATCCCTGACCACTGGTCCTGTTAGCTAGGGATCATGGGAGTTGTAGGCCAAAAACATCTGGATGGCTGAATTTGCCTATGCCTGCTTTAGGCTCTCTTCAAATATAAATGGGATGCGGGTGGCGCTGTGGGTTAAACCACTGAGTCTAGGACTTGCCGAACAGAAGGTCGGCGGTTCGAATTCCCGCAACGGGGTGAGCTCCCATTACTCGGTCCCTGCTCCTGCCAACCTGGCAGTTCAAAAGCACATCAAAAGTGCAAGTAGATAAATAGGTACCACTCTGGCAGGAAGGTAAACGGCGTTTCCGTGCGCTGCTCTTGTTCACCGGAAGCGGCTCAGTCATGCTGGCCACATGACCCGGAAGCTGTACGCCGGCTCCCTCAGCCAATAAAGCGAGATGAGCACCACAACCCCAGAGTCGGCCACGACTGGACCTAAAGGTCAGGGGTCCCTTTACCTTTACAAATATAAATGGGGAGGGGAACAATTCTGTGCGCTGCCTCTGGGCTGTGGGCTGGATCCCCTCCTCTCCTTACGACGCCTCTCTTTCCTCTGCAGGCCACTCACTACTCCCTGCTGGCCACGCTGGAAGTGCTGGGCAAACTGGTGTTCAGCAGCCTGGCAGGCATCGTGGTGGACTGGCTGGGCTTCGTCGGAGCCTTTAGCGTTTTCCTCGCCCTCTCCAGCATTTCTGTTGCCTACATACTGTCTTCCAGAAGGTGATGGCTGCTGCCACCAGGAGGAGGAAGAGGAGAACCTGACAGGAAGCAGGGTCCCTGTGGGCCAGAGGTGGCCAAGGGGAATTTCCAGGTCTCCGCAGCCCCGTAAGCCCCAATTCCTCAGGGATCTCACAGCCTTTTGTGAGGGGGAAGAGCTGGCAAGGGCCTCCCTGAAAGTAATTGTCTCAGGAACACTCCTTCTATTTGCCAGGGAACGTCCACGGTGTGTTTAGACTGAATTCCAAGGTCAGTTAATGCCTCAGTGTTTATTGCCAGTGACTGAGAAGTAAAGGAGGGCAGGATCGCTGTCTGTGGCAGGGTGTGAGAGCAAATAAATAAACTTTTTTAAAATAAAAAAAAACACACACAGTTGGATTTACTTCTGAGGAAATGCTCATCGGGTTGGGCTGCGAGGTAAGTTGGCTTCTTGAACCCAGCTCTGCTTGGGTCCTGGAGCAGCGAGCCCCAGTGAGTCCTGGAGAATGCCAAGGGACATCATGAGATCAGGATCAGGCCCAAATCCTACCCAGTCCAGCATCCAGATGCCTCAACGGGAGACCCAGAAGCTGGACCTCTGAGTGGCACAGCATCTCTCCCCACCTGTTAATCACCTGATGGTCACCAACAGCGCCAGGTGACTCAAATGCCAGAGGAAAGACTCGGGAGTGCTCTCCAAAAGTACACTTCCAGTTCTTCATTTGCAGGTGTGGCTTGAGTTCAGGTTGCACCTGCAAAGGAATATATCTTTTTCCCTTTGCATTTCTGTCTTGAATTCAAGCCACAGCTGCAAAGGAGGATTCAGGAAGACTTTAAAGTCTGCTTCCGACTCTTCTTCCACTTAGCCATGGCTTGGAAGTTTACCATAACTGCCATACAGGATGTCAAGTCAGAAAGGTGTGTATAACACAATAATTCGTAACAGAATTACAGATAAGAGTTTTAAGGGGTCTGTGCGCACAGAAAAGCTCAAGATACACGTTGATCTACCCACACTTAGTTGTTATCTCTGAGAAACATAGAAAATAACAGGATATATTTATTTTTCTTGGGTCAAAAGAGAGTATACCCCTGTTGTAAACAAAATCTGCCCTTCTTCCCTTATGGGGTATCCAAGAGCCCATATAGAGTCCTTAAATAGGAAACCCAGCCAGATGGGCGGGGTACAAATAAATTATTATTATTATTATTATTATTATTATTATTATTATTATTATCCCTATTGGTAGGAGAAAATAACAGAGGCCAAGCAGAGAATATTGAGAAGCAAAGCAGCTAGTAAGCCTGATCTTTATTAAAGCTGTTGCAACAGGGTGCTCCCCTCACACACAGAAGGACAGAGGAGGTGTGCCTGTCTTTATATAGACATTTTAAATTCCCTGCCCTGGAGCTCCAGACCACCCCTCCATACATCATGCATACATCACAGAAAAGGTGGTCTACAGCAGAAATTTGAATGTTGTTTTTCCTGTCTGCCAGCTTATCTGACAATGCCTTATCTGATTGCCTTTCCTGGTAGTCTGGCCATTCCTTTGAGATGGTGATTTCCCAATTCCTGAGACAATGGGAAGGTTCCCTCACCCCCTCCCTCCTTGCAGAGAAAACATTTGGTCAGTTTGGGAGTCAAAATGGTTTCAGGAAGGTCTCCCTGTGCTGCTCCAGACATTGGTACATTTATGAACATTTATTTTATATATGTGACCTTAATTTTTTTACTACACCCCTAAACATTTTTTTTAGAAAAAAGCACTAATAATAATAATAATAATAATAATAATAATAATAATAATAATACAAACCCAGCTGTTTTCTTTTTCTTTTTAAAAAAGTTTTATTGGATTTCACAATTTTATATTCAACACAATCCTCAAGAACACAATGAAAATTCACAAATCCAAATCTCCCCCCTCCCTTCACTTCCCTCAACCTCCTCTTCTGGAAACCCAGCCAGATGGGCAGGGTACAAATAATAAATTATTATTATTATTATTATTTAAATATTTGCTACTTCTGCTTCTTTTGATTCAATTTAAAAATCCTTCAACTAAATTTTCTTTTTATATTCTTACCATTTTCACACCCTACCTTTCCCAAATACACCTTACGTTTTGTTGCTTCCCCACTTATTCCTCCTCGCCTTGTACACTTGTAAGTTTCCTGGTTTCCAAGGCGCTAGTCCTCAGCGCTCCCCCCGAAGCCCCGCCCCCTCCCGTGATGTCATGACGCCGCGTCCAGGGGGCGGCGCTTCATCGTCCCACTCCCGCGAGCCTCCTCCCCATTGGCCGCCGAGGCGCGGCCCCGCCCCTCTCTCCGGCCGCAGCCAATCGGGGCGCGGCTGGGCGGGGGCAGCGCGGCCCGAAGGCTCGGCGGCTTCGGTCGTAGTAGCAGCAGGCGGCGGGCGGCGGCGGCGGAGGTTGGACGGCCGCCGGGCGGGCAGGAAGGAAGGGGCGCCATGGAGCTGCAGCGGACGGTGAGGAGAACCCTCGACCCCCCTTTCCCCTCAACTCCCCCCTTTCGCGCCCTTTCCCTCAGCAAGGTCGTTACCTCAGCTTTTCCCCGCGGACGTCTCTTAGGAGCATTACGGTAGCAGCTCCCCTTCAACGCAGATCTGTTTCAGGCTGTCCCTTTAGGGCTGAATTACGGTAAATCCCCCCCTCCTGCGTCTCTCTTCGGGGCATTACGGTAGCGCCCCCTTTTTCTGGTGCGCTCATCGCGGGGCATTACGGTAACCCCCCCTTTTTTTTCCTGCCCCACTGAATTTATCATATTTATCCACCCCTCTGCTTGCAACTGGGGGCTTTTCTCTCCTTTATGCACCTCCGACCCTCTCCCAGCTGCAAGCATGGCAGGAGTGCCCCTTTGCCATGCACATTACGGTACTTTCTGCCCCCCCCCATTCCAGTGTGGGGCTGGGAGTGGGGAGGGGGCAGCCCTGATTCTTTCCTGCAGGGGGGGAGACTCTCTCCAGAGCTCATTGGTTTGGGAGAACAGAGAACAATAGTGATAGTAAAATAGTAAATACGTAAAAAACAACAACCAGTAAAATAGTAAATAAGTAAAAAAATAACAATAGTAAAAAAGGAGTGGGGCTCTTAGGTGCCCCCCCCCCCGATCCTGGTGCTCACTAGATCCCTGTTGAGGCTCAGATCCTGGCCCCCCCTTCGTAATATATTTGATGAATTATTGTATTTTAATATTTTGCTGGAAGCTGCCCAGCGTGGCTGGGGAAACCCAGCCAGATGGGTCTGGTGTAAAGAATATTTAATAATAATAATAATAATAATAATAATAATAATAATAATAATAATAATATAACAACAACAACAAGAACAACAACAACTAATAATAATAGCAGAGCCTCACTTTTGCTGGAAGCTGCCCAGAGTGGCTGGGGAAACATTGGCAGAAATGTGGTGGCCCATTCTGTGTGCGGCGCATGAAAACCATGTGTTTTTGCAGCATGTTCCTTTTCCTCTCCCCCCCCCCCCTATGGAATTTGCTTGCAAATGACTTCGCGGATGTTGTGAAATTACTTTTTCCCAAGCAGGCTCTTCGTTCCACACGCTGTTTATTGCCGCTCAGATCTTTGCGCCCGTTCAAAGCTTCTTGAGCAACTCATTCCCAAAAACGTGCGCTACACATCAGCTGTTTTCCCAAAGTGGGTGGTGGCGCCACCTGGGACAGTGGGATTTTCCTTGGGGGGCTCTAAGAGGAGAGGGGGGTGGCAGGAGGAGGTGTGTGTGCAAGAAGTGCAAATGACTTTGATAAGGTGGTATCCCCGAATCAGGTCCATCAATTTTGTTGAATGAAATAGTTTGAACTGGATTTTGAATGAACGTGGAATTATTTCTTCCTGTTTTGAATTCTGCTGTATTCTTCTCTTAGCACCAACCATTCTGAACAATGCTTGTTTGGTTGTAAGTCGCTTTGGCTTTCCCTGGGCAAAATAAAGCAACGAACACGTTTAGTAAATGATAATAATTATAGAGTGAGCATCTAATGTTTATTGGATAGATTTCCCCCCAAACTGATTTTTGAATTCTGAATTTATTGCTATTCACGTTTTATACTGTATTTTATTCTGTTTTTTGTTGCATCAATGAAGTGTTTTAAATTTGTTGCAAGCCGCCCTGAGCCTGGTTTTCTGAACCCCAAAGGGGTTTATTTTTATAAATAAAAAATTATTATTATTATAGTGGGGGAGGGCAGTGGGGGTGAGATAATGGAAACCAAGGGTGGTCTGAAAAAGTTTGGCAACCGCTGCTAGATCCCTTCAGCTGTCTGTCAAGTCCAGAGGGCCGGCCGGCTGTCAGCTGTGCTTTCTTCCAGCCTTGAGATGTTCCCAGCGTGAGGAAGAGTCAAGACCCCTCTTGTCCCTGCGCTGGTTTCCTGCCTGCAAGGACAAACCATGGGCGTGAGGCTGGAGGCAGAAAGGGCCGCCCAGGGAGCTTGCAATCTTGGTCCTGACCTGGTTTTTTCCAGCACATCTGAAAAGAAGAGCAGCGGGAAGATTCTCTGGGGACAAATGCCCCCCCACCCTGTATCTGTGGAGTGGGGCCTCCAAAGGGCAGGGTTGCTAGGATCTTCCCAGGACGTGGCTGGCATGTGCTGAGGTTGACTCATAGAATTGTAGAGTTGGAAGGGACCCCGGGGGGTCATCTAGTCCAGCCCCGTGGAATGCAGGAATCTTAACTGAGAAATAAGCACACCAAGAACTCAGGCCAATGTAAGTTTCAGTATTGGGAGTGGTCCCTACTCACAAGTCAATAGTCAATAGTAACAAAAACTAATCCATTCAAAAGTATGTATTCTGACAACAATTACAAACTCAAGTTGTTGTTCAGTCGTTTAGTCGTGTCTGCCTCTTTGTGACCCCCTGGACCAGAGCACACCAGGCACTCGTGTCTTCCACTGCCTCCCGCAGTTTGGTCAAACTCATGCTGGGAGCTTCGAGAACACAGTCCCACCATCTCGTCCTCTGTCATCCCCTTCTCCTTGTGCCCTTCATCTTTCCCAACATCAGGGTCTTTTCCAGGGAGTCTTCTCTTCTCATGAGGTGGCCAAAGTACTGGAGCCTCAGCTTCAGGATCCGTCCTTCCAGTGAGCACTCAGGGCTGATTTCCTTCAGAATGGAGAGGTTGGATCTTCTTGCAGTCCATGGGACTCTCAAGAGTCTCTTCCAGCACCAGAATTCAAAAGCATCCATTCTTCGGCGATCAGCCTTCTTTATGGTCCAGCTCTCACTTCCATACATCACTACTGGGAAAACCATAGCTTGAACCTTTGTTGGCAAGGTGATGTCTCTGCTTTTTAGGATGCTGTCTTCCTTGCCATGGTGAAGGGGCTTGAATAACTCAGAGAAGCTATGAGCTCTGCCGTGCAGGGCCACCCAAGACGGACAGGTCATAGTGGAGAGTTTTGACCAAACGTGATCCAGCTGGAGCAGGAACCGGCAAGCCACTCCAGTATGCCTGCCAAGAAAACTCCATGGACAAACACATCAGGCATATAAAAGTTGACTCATAGAATCATAGAACAGTAGAGCTGGAAGGGATCCGGGGGTCATCTAGTCCAGCCCCGTGGAATGCAGGAATCTTAACTGAGAAATAAGCACACCAAGAACTCAGGCCAATGTAATTTCAGTAGTGGGAGTGGTCCCTACTCACAAGTCAATAGTCAATAATAACAAAAACTAATCCATTCAAAAGTATGTATTCTGAATTACAAACTCAAGTAGAGATTACAAACTCTAACTCATAAAGATATTTATAACATAATAATTCGTTACAAAGATTTTCTCTTTTTCACTCGACAATAAATGTTGATCCTTATTCCAGGTGTGGTCTGACCAAGGCAGAAGAGAGTGGGACTATGACTTCCCTTGATCTGGACGCTAGACTTCTGTTGATGCAGCCTAGAACTGCATTCGCTTTTTTTCCTGCAGTCTCCTTGAGTCATAGAATTGGACAGAGTCTTCTGGGTGATCCAATTCATGCTGTAACCCACCCTGTGATCCTTGGATGAAGGGCGGCCTAAAAATGTAGTAAATAAAATAAATAAATCGTTGGGCACAATAATACAAAGC